CCCTCGTTACATCATCAGCCAGCTGGGGCTGACCCGGGACCCTCTGGAGGGTGAGACACACACACATTTAATGAAGACGGATATTCCTTGTTACATGTTAAGTCAGGAGACTCTAGTGCCCTCAACTCTGGACCTGGAGAAGACAGTTCCACTGCTTTGTTTACTTTCTTCTCCTCCAATCAGGGACTGATTTAGACCTGGGACACCAGGTGGGTGTAATTAATTATCAGGTAGAACAGAAAAGCAGCAGGCTCCGGACCTCGTAGGGTAAGAGTTGAATACCCTTGGACTAGAGGGGGAGTAAGGGAGGGGGAGGGGAGAAGGAGGAGGAGGAAGAGAGGAACAGAAAGAGACAGATTCAGACGGCTGGGACAGACCAGGGACCCTCTGGAGGGTGAGATGGGGGGAGGGAGAGACAGAAGAGGGAAACAGAAAGAGACAGATTTGACCCGGGACCCTCTGGAGGGTGAGATGGGGGGAGGGAGAGACAGAAGAGGGAAACAGAAAGAGACAGATTCAGACGGCTGGGACTGACCCGGGACCCTCTGGAGGGTGAGATGGGGGGAGGGAGAGACAGAAGAGGGAAACAGAAAGAGACAGATTCAGACGGCTGGAACTGACCCGGGACCCTCTGGAGGGTGAGATGGGGGGAGGGAGAGACAGAAGAGGGAAACATAAAGAGACAGATTAAGGGCAGAAGTCCTTAAGAGAAAATGAAAGATTGATGGTTGAGATTTCTCAACCCACATTTTGACAACCACACTCCCCTTGGGTGTTTGTTGTAGGTAATTAACTATAAAGCTAGCAAAAATAACCTTCGAAAAAACAATACATTTTGGCATGAGAAAAACAACAGCATCTTGTCATTGTAGCAATGCCAGCTACAGTGGGCAGTGATCCACCTGTCAACTAGCCTGGTCCCAGATCTGTTTGTGCTGTCTCGCCTTGTCATTGTCACACTAAACCTTAGCAAGACAGCACAAACATATCTGGGACCAGGCTACCTGTAGACATTATTGAGACGCAGAGAGAACTCCCTTCACTGATTCTGAAGCCGGTCGCAGCACTGCACTCACTGTCATTAATCTACATAATAATAATCTACACACACACCAGCCCCCAAACTCCTGCTCTGACTCCTTCAATTCATTCCAGCTCCACTTCTCACAGTGGCAAATCCATCACAAGCTGTTCATTAAACTACACAAGGTAAATGGGTTAGAAAGGCTATTCAGAATCAGACTGGATGCTATTTGTCAGCTAGATTCAGTCTGGTTGAAGAAATATGAGTTTGGGTTTTAGTGGGTTGTCTCGGCTAACAATGTGACACTTTTTGCAAACGAGCCCTTGGTTTAGCACTTTTCTATTCTCACCCACACAAATATTCACACAGTTTCATACAAATATTCACATCTTGATCTCTCTCTCTCCATTTCACTCTATCTCTCTCTCTTTCTCTCTCTCTCACTCTCTTCTTCCCTCCCTCTCTCGGTGTCACGCTCTGGCTCCGGGACTGTGTTGTTTGAGCCAGGGTGTATTCATTTGGTTGTGTTGGGTATAGGGTGTGTTCATTTGTTGTGTTTGGTTTTGGTTTTGTTTCCGTGTTTGGTCAGTGACTCCCAATCGGAGGTAACGAGTGTCAGCTGTCGGCTCGTTATCTCTGATTGGGAGCCATATTTATACTGTGTGTTTTCACCTTGTGGGTGTGGGTTTTTGTTCCGTTTCGGTCAGTGTACCGTGGACTTCATTGAGTCGTCTTTTGTTTTGTAGTTCGATAACGTTTAATTAATAAAGTCATGTTTCTTGGACACGCTGCGCCTTGGTCATACTTAGACGACATAGACCCTCGTGACAGAAAAACCCACCACAAAAGGACCAAGCAGCGTGTCCAGGAGCAAAGGGTCTGGACATGGGAGGAGATTTTGGACGGAAAAGGGTCCTGGACTTGGGAGGAAATCCTGGAGGGGATGGATCGCCGTCCATGGAGCGAGACAGTGGAGAGGCGACGGAGAGAGGAGCAACGGCGTCGGCAGGGCCATCGTCGGAGGGACGAGAGGCAACCCCAAAAAGTTTTTGGGGGGGGGCACATGGCTTGGGCGGTTGGGCAGCAGGAGGCTGCCACAGGGAGATGTGGAGAGAAGGCTATCGGATTACGGGAGCCATTGGCGAGTAGAGGAAGGGAAGTTGTTGCGGCACGGCGTGAGAGACTGATGTGTGTTACCAGTCCGGTCCGGCCCGTTCCTGATCCCCAGTTAAAGCCAGTGGTGTGTGTTCCCAGTACGGACCGGCCTGTTCCTACTCCACGCATCAAGCCCACGGTGTGCGTCGCCAGTCCAGCCCGGCCGGTTCCTGCTCCACGTACTAAGCCTACGGTGTACGTCGCCAGCCCAGCCCGGCCTGTTCCTGCTCCACGCACAGAACCTACGGTGTGCGTCGCCAGCCCAGCCCGGCCTGTTCCTGCTCCACGCACAGAACCTACGGTGTGCGTCGCCAGCCCAGCCCGGCCTGTTCCTGCTCCACGCACAGAACCTACGGTGTGCGTCGCCAGCCCAGCCCGGCCTGTTCCTGCTCCACGCACAGAACCTACGGTGCGCGTCGCCAGCCCGGTCCGGCCTGTTTCCTGCCACACGTACTAAGCCTACGGTGTACGTCGCCAGCCCGACCCGGCCTGTTCCTGCCACTCGCACCAAACCTACGGTGCGCGTCGCCAGCCCGGTCCGGCCTGTTCCTGCCACCCGCACCAAGTCTACGGTGCGCGTCGCCAGCCCGGTCCGGCCTGTTCCTGCCACCCGCACCAAGTCTACGGTGCGCGTCGCCAGCCCGGTCCGGCCTGTTCCTGCCACCCGCACCAAGTCTACGGTGCGCGTCGCCAGCCCGGTCCGGCCTGTTCCTGCCACCCGCACCAAGTCTACGGTGCGCGTCGCCAGCCCGGTCCGGCCTGTTCCTGCCACCCGCACCAAGTCTACGGTGCGCGTCGCCAGCCCGACCCGGCCTGTTCCTGCCACCCGCACCAAGTCTACGGTGCGCGTCGCCAGCCCGGTCCGGCCTGTTCCTGCCACCCGCACCAAGTCTACGGTGCGCGTCGCCCGGCCAGAGTCTGCCGTCTGCCCAACGGCGCCTGAACTGCCCGTCTGCCCAACGGCGCCTGAACTGCCCGTCTGCCCAACGGCGCTTGAACTGCCCGTCTGCCCAACGGCGCCTGAACTGCCTGTCTGCCCAACGCCGTCTGAACTGTCCGTCTGCCAAGCGCTGCATAAGCCGCCCGTCGGCCATGAGCCTTCAGAGCCGTCCGCCAGATCGGAGCCAGAGCCTTCCGCCAGACAGGATCAGCCAGAGCCTTCCGCCAGACAGGATCAGCCAGAGCCTTCCGCCAGACAGGATCAGCCAGAGCCTTCCGCCAGACAGGATCAGCCAGAGCCTTCCGCCAGACAGGATCAGCCAGAGCCTTCCGCCAGCCAGGATCCGCCAGAGCCAGCCAGCCAGGATCCGCCATTCAGTCCGGTGCTGCCCCTTAGTCCGGTGCTGCCCCTTAGTCTGGTGCTGCCCCTTATCCTGGTGCTGCCCCTTAGTCCGGTGCTGCCCCTTAGTCCGGTGCTGCCTCTTAGTCCGGTGCTGCCCCTTAATCCGGTGGGGTTAAATTGGAGGGTGGTCAGTTGGAGGAGGCTACGGAAGCGGGTAGTGACTATGGTGGGGTGGGGACCACGACCAGAGCCAGAACCACCGCCGAAGAGGTATGCCCGCCCAGCCCTCCCTTGTTTAGCCCGATTTGAGGCGCGGTCGCAGTCCGCGCCTTTAGGGGGGGGTACTGTCACGCTCTGGCTCCGGGACTGTGTTGTTTGAGCCAGGGTGTATTCATTTGGTTGTGTTGGGTATAGGGTGTGTTCATTTGTTGTGTTTGGTTTTGGTTTTGTTTCCGTGTTTGGTCAGTGACTCCCAATCGGAGGTAACGAGTGTCAGCTGTCGGCTCGTTATCTCTGATTGGGAGCCATATTTATACTGTGTGTTTTCACCTTGTGGGTGTGGGTTTTTGTTCCGTTTCGGTCAGTGTACCGTGGACTTCATTGAGTCGTCTTTTGTTTTGTAGTTCGATAACGTTTAATTAATAAAGTCATGTTTCTTGGACACGCTGCGCCTTGGTCATACTTAGACGACATAGACCCTCGTGACACTCGGTTCCCCAAAGACATAAAGAAATGTTGTTACCAAGGTGACAAGAAGATATATTATTTATGTAACATCTAATAAAAAATAGCAAGATGTTTACTTAAAGGTCCAATACAGCTGTTTTTATCTCCATATCAAATAATTTCTGGCAACAATTAAGTACCTTACTGTGATTGTTTTCAATTAAAATTGTAAAAAAAAAAAATAGAGCTTCATAGCAAAGAGCAATTTCTGAAGCAATAATTTTGCTAGGACTATCTGGGAGTGGTCTGAGTGGGGAGCGGAAAACTGAAAACTAGCTGTTATTGGTCTATTAACTCATTTCCCTGCTGGTGAAAACTTCAAAACTCCATTCCAGCAAACCAGGCTGAAATTTCAGGAGGTCGTTTCAAACAGCTCTTACACTAAAGGACCGTTATTATAATTATAACAATTTCACAGTTTTACTCCAACTTCATAGTGTGGAAATATATATATTTACATTTACATTTACGTCATTTAGCAGACGCTCTTATCCAGAGCGACTTACAAATTGGTGCATTCACCCTATGATATATATATATAACAGGAAAATCATGTTTTTGACATCACTGGGCCTTTAACATATTTGCATTTATTTGTTCAGCACTCTCCCCCTTATCCAGAGTGACTCACATGTCAAAATGATTTTGTTATTGTAGAGAAAAACCTAAACAACCCTCTTTAAAGTTAATTGCCATTGCATTGCTCAGGCTGTAACACAACAAAATGTGGAACAATGCTATTCATCAGCAACAGTACACACCAGATACTGTATTGACTGTTAAATCATGTGTTTTTGTCCAGACATTGTGAGCATGGACAACTATTATGACAGTGAAGGTCCCCACACCCCAGAGACAGATGATTCCGCAGAGGTGAGGACCCTCCATCTCTAATGAGAAATACACTCACAGACACACCAGATCTATCTTCAAATAGTATCTAGCTTAAGTTAGGCTTGACTGAGCTTGCCTGCTTGTTTACGTAGGGGAAGATGAAAGCCATGAAGCCGCCAAGTGAAGAAGACTTTCAAACCATCAAGCTGATCAGCAACGGAGCATATGGGTGAGTAGAGTCTGGTCAAAGCAATTTGAATGACTATGTATTTCATGTACATCACCAAGTCCTCACATTCATTCAAAGATTTGACAAGACATGAGGCTGCAGATAGATTTCTCTGACCATCTAATTTTTCCCCAACCATACCCTTGGCTTCTTGCACCTCTACCCTTTACCCATCTCCCTCCTCCCCCTCTCTTCCCTCCTCCCTCCTCCTCCTCTCCCCCCTCTCCGCAGACCACCCGCTCCTGTCCCAGCAGCCCAGCAGAGGCACGAGGCCGCCGCCCAAGAAGAAAAAGAAAGGATTCGCGAGAACTCGCCCCGAAAACCCAAAAGAAAAAGAAAAACGAAACAGCTATTACGAGGAAAAGAAAGCCTAAAGAACTCTGCCGTCCCTCCTCCCCTCGGCCACTCCAGAATCTCAGCCACCCTCCCCCTCCGCTCCCTCCTCCTCCCCTTGACCTATCGTCCCTCCTCCCCTCCTCTCTAATATCTCCTCCCCCCCTCCCTATCTCTCCATTCACCTCCCCCTATCTCCCCTCAGTGCGGTGTACCTGGTACGTCACAGGGAGACCCGTCAGCGTTTTGCCATGAAGAAGATCAACAAGCAGAACCTGATCCTGAGGAACCAGATCCAGCAGGCCTTTGTAGAGAGAGACATCCTGACCTTCGCTGAAAACCCCTTTGTGGTCTCCATGTTCTGCTCCTTCGAAACCCGCAGGCACCTCTGCATGGTCATGGAGTATGTTGAAGGTAAGTGGGTTTCTGAGTAAACTGTACTACTTTAATGGAATTACAATAAAGGCTTCATAGGGTGTCCCAAGAAACCTCACATATCTTACACCTTGCTCCTTCAAAGTTCTCTCCGTTCTGATCTTGTTCACTTCCTTTGAGGGGGAGAGAGTTTCTCAGGGAACCCGGTTGGATTTCATTCTCATTCTGGAAAGTGGTACTCTCCCTTCTGCCCTTGTTCGTTTGCTTTTCATGGTATCTGATAGGACTAGCTAGGTGAAAGCAATATGGTGGAAACCAGAGGGGATGGGTGGCTCATAATAATGGATGGAATGGTGTGAATGGAATGGTATCAAACACATGGAAAACCATGTCATTCCAAACATTACTATGTCCTTCTCATTTAAAGTGCCACCAGCCACCACTGGTGGAAACTTAAAAACATCTATCCTATCCACATAGGGGATTGACCGAGGGCCAGGGTCACTTCCCACAGCAGCCCTAGCCAATCCATCTTTCTCAATGTGTGTTAGGTGCTGGAGGGCAGCTCAACCTACTCAACCAAACTATATAGCAGAAAGCAGATTGCTTTTCTCCTGGTTGTTAGTGTTCAGAGTCAGTCTACAGACACAGCCAGGCATGAAAAGTAGTGTGTGACTCTGCCAAACATAGGTTTACCAGGCCAGATGAGGAGGGGAGAAACAACACAAGACAAACAACCACAGATAGGGCCGACCGACACTGAGAAATCCTTGAACACATTCAGACTGACTCTCAGGCTGTGCCCCATTCTCTTCCCAAAGGGTACAGAAGTGTGCACTTGCACATTGCCCGTCATGTATTGAAAAGCATTGTTGTGGTAGGTCAATGGAGTTCCCACCATTGTTTGAATCCATGAGAGAAAGTGTGTACAAGTGCATTCTTTAGGAGCAGGATAGAGAATCAAGTCATAACCCATGTCTAACCAACCATGTTGTGTTCCTATGGGGGAGACTGTCTAACCAACCACGTTGTGTTCCTATGGGGGAGACTGTCTAACCAACCACGTTGTGTTCCTATGGGGGAGACTGTGTCTAACCAACCATGTTGTGTTCCATAGGGGGAGACTGTGTCTAACCAACCACGTTGTGTTCCTATAGAGGGAGACTGTCTAACCAACCATGTTGTGTTCCTATAGGGGGAGACTGTGTCTAACCAACCATGTTGTGTTCCTATAGGGGGAGCCTGTGTCTAACCAACCATGTTGTGTTCCTATAGGGGGAGACTGTGCCACTCTGCTGAAGAACATCGGGGCGCTGCCCGTGGAACTGACCAGGATGTACTTCGCTGAGACCGTACTGGCACTGGAGTACCTACACAACTATGGCATCGTGCACCGAGACCTCAAGCCTGACAAGTGAGTGGGCCACACTGCCACCCTGCCACTCCCCTGGTGGATGGGAGGTCTAGTTGCTTTCACACTACACAATATTCACCATAAATGTAATTTCTTAGGAAAATTTGGGACATCCTCTAACAATATTAAGCCAAAATGTGTGTACTGTGAAAGGTTCTAGGAATACTGTCTACAGGCTCCTGTTGGTCGTACAGACATGCTCGATATGCATCCAACCCACCCTGATCGGGTTGAAGTCTAAAGCTTTCTGTTCCTGGTGTTTGCTGTGCAGTTGATGTCTGACAGCCCATGTGTTGTTCCTGTTTTCATCAGTCTTCTGATCACCTCTATGGGCCACATCAAACTGACAGACTTTGGCCTGTCTAAGATGGGTCTGATGAGCCTCACCACCAATCTGTACGAGGGACACATCGAGAAGGACGCACGCGAGTTCCTGGACAAACAGGTAGATCGATTGATCGATCAGTCAGTCAATCAGTCAATCAGTCAGTCAGTTAGTCAGTCAGTCAGTCAGTCAGTCATGATCAGTCAGTCAATCAATCAGTCAGTCATTCAGTCAGTCAGTTAGTTAGTTAGTCAGTCAGTCAGTCAGTCAGTCATGATCAGTCAGTCAGTCAGCCAATCAAACAAACAAACAGTCAATCATATTGATTTATAAAGCCATTTTTATATCAACAGTTTATGAGAGGTAGTATACAGCCAACCTCTCAATGAAGAGCCAATCACATACAGTATGTTAGAAACTCTGCAGTTACGTGAGAGAGTTGAATTCAGGATCACTTGACTTGCCTCATGCATCAACAGATTGAGAATCTCAAAATAACCTTGCAAAAACTCATCATTAGCCAAACAAGACAAATACACACAGTCACTAATAATGTTTACCATACAGACTGAATCATCATAATTTCTCGAAATAAATTATATTCTGGTCCCTATTTATTTTGCAATTACAGTTTATGTTTATGCAAGTTTTGAATTGAACTCCCCATATTAATTAATGATGGTGTTAGGCCAGCAGCAATACAGTTTCTTCTCTTGTCTTTGTCTGTCCAAAGCAGCAGTAGGGCATCTAGCCTGGTTAAACCAGACTGAATGCTGGGTTTCACTGTTGTTTCACATAGAGTTAGAAAGAGGACTCTAGATGGTTGTAACCTGCTTTAGCATGGACATTGCCATCGAGGGCTTCCAACAATGGGATAGCCTCAGTGATGCTACCCATGCTCTCACAGACGCCATAATGGCACAGATACTTTCACTTGAAATCAGTTGGGATGCCAGGCTAGAGGGCATCTGTTGGGTTCTAATGAACTGCTACTACAGAGGGAGGCCTACTGGATCTCCGATCTAAAAACACTGACCCCTAGTGGCCTGAACATTGACCTTGACCTCAGATACTTTTTATGAACAAGTCCTCTAAAGTCTGCTAAATGAACATATTCTTTCTACATCACAGCAGGCTGCTGAGGGGAGGACGGCTCATAATAATGACTGGAATGGAGCGAATGGAATGGCATCAAACACGTTGAAACCATGTGTTTGATGTATTTGATACCATTCCACCTATTCCGCTCCAGCCATTACCACGAGCCCGTGCTCCCCAATTAAGGTGCCACTTACCTCCTGTGTTCTACAGCTTATCAGCGTGCACCCAAGATGTTGCCTTTGTCGATGATGCTTATTGTGCATTACGGTTGAACCAAAAGATTACACATAACAAAGATTAAATGAAATGGAAACAATTAAATATGTATATTCAATTAAATAATAATGTATGTTGATGCTATTAATATGTACAATATCTAATGATGTTGCAATATGATAACAGTAGCCTAATATATTAAACTCGCTGTAAACTATTGTCTTTAAAAAATATATTTTTTTATTCATTCTTATCGACCCTAATGACTATGACACACCCCTCACTATTGTCATTGGTTGCACTAATTGTAGTGTTTGTTTACATAACCTGGTTCAAGCATTCATGACGTTACCCTGAAGAAGGCAGAGTGATGCCGAAACATTGGTGGTTTACCCAATAAATTACTGGGAGCTTGTATAAAGAGCGTGCAAATCTCTTTATTACATTTCTTTAGCCTACAGTTTACTCTCCGTTAGTCAGCAGCTCTACCAGCCTTTTGGGTGTGTGCCAGTTTATGCTTTTTAATGGGTTCTAATGAACACACATCATCTGCACATGAAATAGATGAAGACCCTTTCATGTTTTGGTCTGTGCAGACTCTTGATTAGAGAGCGTTGGTTATTCACTCAGCAGTAATGAACTAGGCCCCTGCTGCCTCAACCATGTACAGCAACAGTACCAATTAGAATTAGAATTCTGATTATCAGCATTATACAATCTGGGTCCATGATTAGTGATTACTGTACAGTACTTCTGTCAGAGACAGATGGAAGAATATTCAAGCTTTTGGGCTTGCAGATAGCCACACAGGCCAGACCTGGGTTCAAATAGTATTTGTTGTTGTCTTTTATTTTTTATTGAGCCTGCCTGGAGTGCCAGATGGGAAAGGTTTGCACTTTTGGGACTACTCCATTGCAAGGAGCGTGACCGAGACTTCTGATTGGTGGATCTCTCTCCCTGTCCCAGGTGTGTGGCACCCCAGAGTACATAGCCCCGGAGGTGATCCTGAGACAGGGCTACGGGAAGCCGGTGGACTGGTGGGCCATGGGCATCATCCTCTATGAGTTCCTGGTGGGATGTGTGCCATTCTTTGGAGACACGCCTGAGGAGCTCTTTGGACAGGTCATCACAGGTGAGTCTGCCATCAATCAGTCAATCAATCAAAAGCTGTTTGGACAGGTCATTACAGGTGACATGAGGGCTGGCCTTTCCTCTGTGTCTGCAAATGTTTTCTTTTTGAATTCCCCCCAGTGCTTCTTGTTCTGGACTGTATGTCAGGGGTTTTCAAACCTCTCCTCGGGGACCCCCAGACAATTCACAAGTTGAATCAGGTGTGCTAGCTGTGGAATAGATCAAATGCATGGAACGGCTGGGGGTCCCTGAGGAGAGGTTTAAAAACCACTGCTGTAAGTGACTGATGACTGCAAGGCCTCCGTCTGTGTACTAACTTGGGCCTGACTTAATGTTGGTCCGTTCCAGATCCTTGCTGTTCATTCTCTCTGTAACTGGCTCTGTAGTCCCATCTATCTGTTGTTTCTCTCAGATGACATAGTGTGGCCTGATGGAGATGAGGTCCTGCCTGCTGATGCCCAGGGACTGATATCAACCCTGCTACAGACCAACCCACTGATGAGGCTGGGTACAGGTACTAGAACAGGGGTTCTCAAACTTGTTCTGCACACGACAAAAGGCCCTTAGTTGACACTAAATGGTTAGGTTGTATTCTATACCCATTTTAAGATTTTCTCAGGGGACCAAATTTCAACTTCAGGGGACCCCACACGGTTTTTGGAACCAATGTGCTAGAATTTAAGAATGTTCCTCCTGTTTGTGCTGTAGTCTACTGTCATAATCTTACCAAAAACAACCTTGTTTGTCAAGCCAATGATGCTGCATTTTTTAACACAGATTCAGAAACAGCAAGCAACTCTCCCTAGGTCTCAGATATGAGTCAGAAAGTATTCCTGCTTACTGTGTGTAATGAATCATGCCATAATTATTCACATTTTAACCTTTGTTTCTGTATTACTCCAACTACCATGGCCCAGGGCCATATGCTCTTCCAAGGCCTACATTCTCAGAGCTGATCTTGTTGTTATAATTCCTCCGTGTCCCCAGGAGGAGCGTTTGAGGTGAAGCAGCACTCGTTCTTCTCTGACCTGGACTGGAACAGTCTACTGAGACAGAAGGCAGAGTTCATACCTCATCTGGAGTCAGAAGAGGACACCAGCTACTTCGACAGTGAGTGCCATTACCTGTGTATTTAATGCCAATAAAGCCTACTGGCTGTATTTACACAGGCAGCCTAATTCTGATATTTTGCCCAATTGGCCAAAAAACATATTATTGGAAAAAGATCAGAATTGGGCTACATGTGTAAAGCCAGTGAGTCTCTGATCTTTGATAGGAGTTATCTCATGGTAAAACCCAGCCAAGCCAGAGAGTGGTTCTCCCAAAGTGTTGATGAAAGCTAAGATGTTACATCTCTCTCTCTCTCTCTTTCTCTCCATCTCTCTTTCTCTCCGTCTCTCTATTTCTCTCTCTCTTTCTGTCTTTCTCTCTCTCTTTCTCGCCATCCCTCTTTCCATCGCTCTCTCTCTCTCTCTCTCTCTCTCTCTCTCTCTCTCTCCTCTCTCTCTCTCTCTCTCTCTCTCTCTCTCTCTCTCTCTCTCTCTCTCTCTCTCTCTTCTCCTCTCCTCCCTCAGCCCGTTCAGATCGTTATCACCACATCAATGCGTACGATGAGGACGACACCAACGATGATGACGAGCCTGTTGAGATCAGACAGTTCTCCTCCTGCTCACCTCGCTTCAGCAAGGTACACACACACACACACGGTTGGGGAGTAACTGATTACATTCCAAAACACTGTAACAGGTTACAGATACTTTTGACAAACTATTACTTCTTGGATTACTTTTAAATTCAGAAAGGATGTTTGCGGGAGAAAACAAATCCATTATGACATTCAATTCAGCATTGAAAAAAGGCAGAAGTTTAAGTTTGTTCCACCTGAGCGAGTCTTAGTCAGAGACCACTATGATGTCAGATACCACTATGATGTCAGATACCACTATGATGTCAGATACCACTATGATGTCAGAGCCCACTATGATGTCAGAGACCACTATGATGACAGAGACCACTATGATGCCAGAGACCACTATGATGTCAGAGACCACTATGATGTCAGATACCACTATGATGACACACCAAATGTGTTTGATGGATCCTTTTTGTCTTGTTCTAATGGCTCTTAAGGGGAAAGTGACTGAAAGATTACGTTACTGAGTTTGGGCAATCCAAAAGTTACATTACTGATTACAATTTGGACAGGTAAAACATTTTTTAAAATATTGTCTCATACCCCAGATAGGTGCAGTGAAATGTGTTGTTTTACAGGGTCAGTCATAGTAGTACGGCGCCCCTGGAGCAAATTAGGGTTAAGTGCCTTGCTCAAGGGCACATCAACCGATTTTTCACCTTGTCGGCTCGGGTGTTCGAACCAGTGATCTTTCGGTTACCGGCCAAACGCTCTAACCGTTAGCCGACCTCCCACTCTAGATAACTAGTAACTGTAGCGGATTACATTTTAAAAGTAACCTACCCAACCCTGCACACACACTCCTCCGGCTGCCTTCATTTCAGCAAGATCATTTTCTCTCTTCATCTCCCCTTCATTCTTCATTTTTTACTTGAAGGTGTCTTCTAGCAATCCCAACTCGTTTTTCATCCTGGCTCTGGCTCGACACCCTATCCCTCATTCTTCTCTACATGCTCTCTCTCTCTCCCTCACTTGTTTTCCTCTATCTCTTTGACCCTCCTCTCTTTGGCCCTCCTCTCTTTGGCCCTCCTCTCTTTGGCCCTCCTCTCTTTGGCCCTCCTCTCTTTGGCCCTCCTCTCTTTGGCCCTCCTCTCTTTGTCCCTCCTCTCTTTGGCCCTCCTCTCTTTGTCCCTCCTCTCTTTGGTCCTGCTCTCTTTGGCCCTCCTCTATTTGGCCCTCCTCTCTTTGGCCCTCCTCTCTTTGCCCCTCCTCTCTTTGTCCCTCCTCTCTTTGGTCCTGCTCTCTTTGGCCCTCCTCTCTTTGGCCCTCCTCTCTTTGTCCCTCCTCTCTTTGGCCCTCCTCTCTTTGTCCCTCCTCTCTTTGGTCCTGCTCTCTTTGGCCCTCCTCTCTTTGGCCCTCCTCTCTTTGGCCCTCCTCTCTTTGGTCCTGCTCTCTTTGGCCCTCCTCTCTTTGGCCCTCCTCTCTTTGTCCCTCCTCTCTTTGGCCCTCCTCTCTTTGGTCCTGCTCTCTTTGTCCCTCCTCTCTTTGTCCCTCCTCTCTTTGGCCCTCCTCTCTTTGGTCCTGCTCTCTTTGGTCCTCCTCTCTTTGTCCCTCCTCTCTTTGGTCCTCCTCTCTTTGTCCCTCCTCTCTTTGGTCCTGCTCTCTTTGGCCCTCCTCTCTTTGGCCCTCCTCTCTTTGGTCCTGCTCTCTTTGGCCCTCCTCTCTTTGGCCCTCCTCTCTTTGTCCCTCCTCTCTTTGTCCCTGCTCTCTTTGGCCCTCCTCTCTTTGGCCCTCCTCTCTTTGGTCCTGCTCTCTTTGTCCCTCCTCTCTTTGTCCCTCCTCTCTTTGTCCCTCCTCTCTTTGTCCCTCCTCTCTTTGGTCCTGCTCTCTTTGTCCCTCCTCTCTTTGGCCCTCCTCTCTTTGGTCCTGCTCTCTTTGGTCCTCCTCTCTTTGTCCCTCCTCTCTTTGGTCCTCCTCTCTTTGTCCCTCCTCTCTTTGGTCCACCTCTCTTTGTCCCTCCTCTCTTTGGTCCTGCTCTCTTTGTCCCTCCTCTCTTTGGCTCTCCTCTCTTTGGTCCTGTTCTCTTTGGTCCTCCTCTCTTTGTCCCTCCTCTCTTTGGTCCTCCTCTCTTTGTCCCTCCTCTCTTTGGTCCACCTCTCTTTGTCCCTCCTCTCTTTGATCCTCCTCTCTTTGTCCACCTCATAGTTTGAATCCCTATTATCCTGTCATTCTGTCTTTACACCACCTTTCCTTCTCTATTTTCTCTCTCTGCTGCCCTCCTTTTGTCCTCTACCTGTCCCTTCCTCCTCCTCTCTGTTCTCCTGTAAGGGTGGTGACTAGTGAAGGGTCTCTTGTGGGAATGAGGAGGGGTGTGTGTGTGTGTGTGAAGGGTCTCTTGTATAAATGGAGAGGGCTAAGGGCTCTATTGCAGTAGCAGTACACTGATGGAGAGACCTGATTAGGGTCTAGAACACTGCCTGCTGGTCACAAAGCACACACACAAGGACACATGAACACACACACACACACACACACACACTCAAGAAGGCACATGCTGTTTTGTGTAGACCTTTAATAAGTACTGTATGCATCTTTTGGCACCAGAGTAATCTGCATTGAAAATATAGTATGTTAGTGTGGTGCCAGGACAACAACCTCTCCCTCAAAGTCAGCAAGACAAAGGAGCTGATCGTGGACTACAGGAAATGGAGGGCTGAGCACGCCCCCATTCACATTGGCGGTGCTATAGTAGAGTGAGTGGAGAGCTTCAAGTTCTTTGGAATTAACATGGTCCACACACACCCACACAGTTGTGAAGAGGGCACGACAACGTCTCTTCCCTTTCAGGAGGCTGAAAATATTTGCCATGGGCCCTCAGAGCTACAGCTGCACCATTGAGAGCATCTTGGCTGGCTGCATCACCGCTTGGTACGCAGTACATCACTGGGGCCGAGCTCCCTGCCATCCAGGACCTCTATACCAGGCGGTGTCAGAGGAAGGCCCCAAAAATTGTCAGACTCCAGCCACCCAAGTCATAGACTGTTCTCTCTGCTACCGCACAACAAGCGCTACCGATGCACCAAGTCTGGAACCAACAGGACTCTGAACAGCTTCTATCACCAAGCCATAAGACTGCTAAACAAGACTGCTATATAGCTAATAAAATGGCTACCCAGACTACCTGCATTGACCATCTCTCGCACTGACTCAATGCACACACACTGGACTCTACACACACACACACACACACACACACACACATACTTACACCAGTGGCGGTCGGTGGCGTTTAAGATGAGGGAGGACGATAATGATTTTAATGAGCATGGCCTTATTTCTATTACAGCATATTGGATGACTGTCATTCATATTCCATTCATCCAGCTCATTGTAACAGCGATAGCTTTAGGCTACTACATGATACTAAAATGTTCCCTATACCCATCATGAGGTTGCTACAACCTATCCTATGAATCAAAATGTACAATGTAGGTGCACAGGTCGAGAGAAAGTTTAGTAATCAAGTTGACAGACAGTGAGACAGTTAATACCGCTTGCACACTCTTGCCTGCATCTAGCTGATCTAGGGTGTAATCATTAGTGCAACAGTTGCAAACAAGTTTCTATTGGAGAAATTCAGGTATGTTTATTCCCATTTCGTTCCGTTTAAGAAACGTTTTTCAACAGAATTGGCGGAATGAATACACCCCTGATCACACGCAAACATAGTTCACTTTCATAGCAGCCACATACAAACAGCATGATCACTTTGCTTGTTGTAATTCCTTCTCGCATCTACGCGCTCTCCTCCTCTCACCTTTTCCCTTCTCTTGTGGACTTCAGTGCACAACACAGTGGCGCTAAGACCGCACTCAATGAGCTGTATACGGCCATAAGCAAACTGGAAAATGCTCATCCAGAGGCAGTGCTCCTAATGGCCGGGGACTTTAATGCATTTCTACCAGCATGTTAAATGTGCAACCAGATGGGAAAAAAATCTAGACCACCTTTACTCCACACACAGAGACGCGTACAAAGCTCTCCCTCGCCCTCCATTTGGCAAATCTGACCATAACTCTATCCTCCTGATTCCTGCTTACAAGTAAAAACTAAACCAGTGACTCGGTCAATAAAAAAGTGGTCAGATGAAGCAGATGCTAAGCTACAGGACTGTTTTGCTAGCAGAGACTGAAATATGTTCCGGGATTCTTCCGATGGCATTGAGGAGTACACCACATCAGTCACTGGCTTCATCAATAAGTGCATAGATGATGTTGTCCTCACAGTGACTGTACGTACATACCCCAACCAGAAACCATGAATTACAGGCAACATCCGCACTCAGCTAAAGGGTAGAGCTGCCGCTTTCAAGGAGCGGGACTCTAACCCGGAAGCTTATAAGAAAACCCGCTATGCCCTCCAACGAACCATCAAACAGGCCAAGCGTCAATATAGGACTAAGATCGAATCGTACTACCCGGCTCATCGGATGTGGCAGGGCTTGCAAACTATTATAGACTACAAAGGAAAGCACAGCCACGAGCTGCCCAGTGACACGAGCCTACCAGACGAGCTAAATTACTTCAAAGCATGCTTTGAGGCAAGTAACACTGAAACATATATGAGAGCATCAGCTGTTCTGGACGACTGTGTGATCACGCGCTCCTTAGCCGATGTGAGACCTTTAAACAGGTCAACATTCACAAGGCCACAGGACCAGACGGATTACCAGGACGTGTACTCCGAGCATGTGTTGACCAACTGGCAAGTGTCTTCACTGACATTTTCAACCTCTCCCTGTCTGAGTCTGTAATACCAACATGTTTCAAGCAGACCACCATAGTCCCTGTGCCCAAGAACACTAAGGTAACCTGCCTAAATGACTACCGACCCGTAGCACTCACATCTGTAGCCATGAAGTGCTTTGAAAGGCTGTTCATGGCTCACGTCAACACCATTATCCCAGAAACCCTAGACCCACTCCAATTTGCATACCGCCCCAACAGATCCACAGATGATGCAATCTCTATTGCACTCCACATTGCCCTTTCACACCTGGACAAAAGGAACACCTATGTGAGAATGCTATTCATTGACTACAACTCAGCGTTCAACACCATAGTGCCCTCAAAGCTCATCACTAATCTAAGGACTAAACACCTCCCTCTGCAACTGGATCCTGGACTTCCTGACGGGCTGCCCCCAGGTGGTAAGGGTAGGTAGCAACATATCCGCCACGCTGATCCTCAACACGGGGGCCCCTCAGGGGTGCGTGCTCAGTCCCCTCCTGTATTCCCTGTTCACTCATGACTGCATGGCCAGGCACGACTCCAACACCATCATTAAGTTTGCCGATGACACAACAGTGGTATGCCTGATCACCGACAATGATGAGACAGCCTATAGGGAGGAGGTCAGAAACCTGGCCGTGGGGTGCCAGGACAACAACCTCTCTCTCAACGTGCTCAAGACAAAGGATATGATTGTGGACTACAGGAAAAAGAAGTGGACCGAGCACGCCCCCATTCTCATCGACGGGGCTGTAGTTGAGCAGGTTGAGAGCTTCAAGTTCCTTGGTGTCCACATCACCAACAAACTATCATGGTCCAAACACACCAAGACAGTCGTGAAGAGGGCACGACAAACCTATTCCCCCTAAGGAGACTGAAAATATTTGGCATGGGTCCTCAGATCCACAAAGGTTCTACAGCTGCACCATCGAGAACATCCTGACTGGTTGCATCACTGCCTGGTATGGCAACTGCTCGGCCTCCGACCGCAAGGCACTACAGAGGGTAGTGCGTACGGCCCAGTACTCCATATTAATGCCCATGATTTTGGAATGAGATGTTCGACGAGCAGGTGTCCACATACCTTTGGTCATGTAGTCTAGCTGTCCTCCGGCTACACCATGGTGCTACCCTACAGAGGCTACTGTAGACCTTCATTGCAAAACAGTGTGTTTTTATCAATTATTTGGTGACGTGAATATATTTAGGATAGTTTTATCTAAAAAGGATAACTTTTTTAATGTTTCACTATTTTAATTTTTATGCAATTCACTGAGGAGGATGGTCCTCCCCTTCCTCCTCTGAGGAGCCTCCACTGCCTTTCACTGACACCCCAACATATACACACATACATACACACACACACACACACACACACACACAAACACTACATACACCCACCCACACAAACGCACACACACACACTACATACACAAACACACACACACACACACACACACACACACACACACACACATACACTACATACACCCACACAAACACACACACACTACATACACAAACACACACACACACACACTACATACACCCACACATAACATGCACACACACACACACACACACACACACACACACACTCACCACATACGCTGCTGCTACTGTCTATTATCTATCCTGTTGCCTAGTCACTCTATCCCTACCTATATGTACATAGCTACCTCAGTTACCTCGTACCCCTGCACATTGACTCAGTACTGGTACTCCCTGTATATAGTCATGTTATTTTGACTCAATATTGTTATTCGTTATTCACTGTGTATGTATACCTCTTGTCACTATTTCTGTCGTTTAAAATGTTTTATGTATCTTTAACTCTGCATTGTTGGAAAAGGACCCGTAAGTAAGTATTTCACTGTTAGTCTACACATGTTGTTTTTCGAAGTGTGACAAATAAAATGTGATTTGATTTATTACAGTAGTTTAGATTTAGAAGCCAATGTTACCTTAGTACATATCACAGTACAGTTCATGTTATGGCCACTGCTTCAGTTACCATGAATACTCTTTAACCTTGTTTTAAAGCACTGTTCTTGTTGTTAAGCTGGTCTCCCACACACACCAGCTTACTCACAGCTCATTTACAAGACCTTGCCGTGTGTGTGTGCGTGCATGCATGCGTGTTATATGTATTAGCCGAAGCACCCACGCACTCTTTCTATCTACAGTATGTAACTGACAATCATGTTCTATGTTTGGCTTAAGGTTAAGGGTAGTGATGATGAGTGTTTTAACAGACTTGCTTCCTTTCTTTATGGTCAGGCCATGTATTCATAAAGTGTCTCAGAGTAGGAGTGCTGACCTAGGATCTGTTTTGCCTTTTAGATCACAATGAATAGAACATGGAGGACCTGATCCTAGATTAGCACTCCTACTCTGACCCCAGGTCCCATGGTCAGGAAAAACTCTAGTATTGTCCTATTATTATGGTGTGTATTTTGACCTCTGACCTAGCTACAGGTTTTGACTGTCTCTCCATGGCTGATGATTTTTTACTGGCCAGACAGACCTGCTACAATAGGCTCATGACCTTTGCAGAGCGTGAAATTCTCCTATTCACTTCAATGAAACCTGTGCGTAAGCAGTCACGGCTCAGCATGATGCTCAGATTTGGACTTTGTCTCCATGGCCCCTCTGCAGGTGTACAGCAGCATGGAGCACCTGTCCCAGTTGGAGCAGAAGGCCCCCTCAGTGACTCGACGGGAACACAAGGGCTCCCGGGAGGACAACAAGGGGAAGAGAGAGAGTCTGGGAACCTTCCCTATCAGGGACAAGAGCTGGAGGACCGGATCACCTGAGATGTGAGTGTGGTGGAGAGAGAGAGAGTGTGGTGGGGAGAGAGAGAGAGAGAGAGAGAGAGAGAGAGAGAGAGAGAGAGAGTGGTGGGGAGAGAGAGAGAGAGAGAGAGAGTGTGGTAGAGAGAGAGAGGTAGAGAGAGAGAGAGAGAGAGAGAGAGAGAGAGAGAGAGACTGGGGGAGAGAGAGACAAAGAGAGAGAGGGGAGGTGGGAAGCGAGGGGGGAGAGAGCGGTTGTGTAGTCATAGAGATCCGATAGAGAGAGAGAAGAGAGAGAGAGAGAGAGAGACTGGGGGAGAGAGAGACAACGAGAGAGAGGGGAGGTGGGAAGCGAGGGGGGAGAGAGCGAGTTGTGGTAGGCAGAGAGATAGAGAGAGAGAGAGAGAGAGGGAGGAGGCGAGAGAGAGCGGAGTTGTGGTAGGCAGAGAGAGAGATGGAGGGAGAGAGAGAGAGAGAGAGAGAGCATGTAAAGCTTCCCTATTAGGGACAAGAGCTAGAGGAGTCTGTGGGGTATGGTGTTATTGTGGGGGGAGGGGGGTATTTGTGTGTGTGTGTGTGTGTGTGTGGTGTCTCAAAAGTATCATTAGCTCTCCCACTGAGCTCCTGCATTGCCTATGTCTGAGTTTCATACACAAGTTGGTTTATAGAAGTGAGAGCCACTGTCTATTATTGACTCTAGGGAGTGTGATTGTGTGAACTCTCACGCTAAGCTCCGGTATTGGAGAAGTGTCAGAACCTAAGACGGTGGTAGAAGCAGCCATTAAATCATCCAAATAGAGAGATGTTAACACTAACTTTAAGGGGGTATACATAGCCATTTATGAAATGTACACCAGTCATGACACCTTTATACCAACATTCATAACACAATGATTCAACATCAGTTTAAATACGTTTTCAAAATAAAAGTCCCTTAGCATTGGGAATAACAGCCTCTCCTCTTCTCCTGCCCCCTCAAAGGAAGCGTCTGTCCGGTTCTGAGTCCCTCTACATGGATGGTGACTCCAGCCCTCCCCTCGGGGCCCGGCGCCGTTTCTCCGCCCTCATGGACACGCATCGCTTCGCCTCACAGCAGGAGGACAACCCAGACCCCCTGACACGCCAGCCCCCTGTCAAGGCTAGGGGGACTTCGCAGGAGGTGGCCTCCGTCCCCTCCACACCCCCCTCCACCCCCAGCACCACCCCTGACCCAAAGGAGGGACATGTAGGAGGTGAGGAGAGAGAGTGAGAGTGAGAGTGAGAGAGAGAGAGAGAGAGAGAGAAATTATGCTGTGGTGGATGGAGGTTGTTTCACTTGTATTGTCACCTGACAAACTGGTGATTTTATCAGGTGAGGTGACAATTGAAAAGATTGTAAGAAAGCCAAGAGAGGACGTCAGCTAAGCTCCAACAATATACTTGAGACCGGAGAGTAATCCTTTTTTCCGTCAACAGAGAAACCACCAAGCCCAGGCGAGACTCTGGGAGCCACACCCACCCCCTCCACTACCCCTGGACCTACATCAACCAATAGGGAGCTGGGGGCGGGGCCTGTGTATGACCCCCTTGGCCCCCGGGCAACCAATGACCTGGTCCTCCGCAGGGCGAGACACCAGCAGATGTCAGGAGACACAGGGGAGAAGAGGAACTCACGGCCTGGCAACAAGGTTATCAAGTCAGCCTCAGCCACAGCCCTGTCTGTCATCATACCTGCAGGTAACTATGCTAAATGTACATCTGTTGTCTCTGGCTTGAGTGGCTTTATATGTATTTTAATGATCAAATACATTTAATCAGGCAGTCAATGAATCACAATGGCCTCCTGCCACTAGAGGGTACTGTGAGCTGGGATGTTACTCTAATGCTGAGTTTACACAGCATGCTTAAAACCACATCATGAAATAGAGCACAGTAGTATATGTATCTCTATGCCTAAAACCTTCCTTACTCTTTTTCTTACCCGCAATCACTATACCATTCTCTCCCCTCTCCCAATTTGTCATCCCTTCCCATTTCCCCACCACAGTAGACCAGTACGGCCACAGTCACAGCTCCCCCTTGGCCAGCCCCATGTCCCCCCGCTCCCTGTCCTCCAACCCCTCCTCCCGGGACTCGTCACCCAGCCGTGACTACTGTCCGGCCCCCGCCGTCAGCGTGCTGCGCTCACCCATCACCATCCACCGCTCAGGGAAGAAGTACGGATTTACCCTAAGGGCGATACGGGTCTACATGGGAGATACGGATGTGTACAGTGTCCATCACATCATCTGGGTGAGGAGAGGGGGAGGAGAGGGGGGGGGGGGGATTCATTTATTAATTAACTTGAAAGGTGTACACTATCCTGTTTATTGATTGACAATGTGTCCTCGTCCAATGGCAGCACGTGGAGGATGGAGGCCCCGCCCAGGAAGCAGGACTGTGTGCTGGTGACCTCATCACTCATGTGAATGGGGAGTCTGTCCACGGATTGGTCCACACGGAAGTGGTGGAACTCATTCTAAAGGTATGATGGAAGAAGAGACTGGGTTCTACAATAGACTTTGTTGATATTTGAATGATTGCGTAATATCCATGCACTGTATTGGTCTCTTAAGCTATGAGTAAGGGTGTTATTCGTCAATGTAGATGTGAAGGAGGTTGTTCTGTGACCACGCTCATGTGATGAGTAACTTGCCTGCATACTAGCGTTGGCTCCCTGAGCTAGTGCCCAGGCTTCAGCTCAGCAGGCTAACCTAGACTTGTGGCGTGCAGGAAACCTGTGATCGAACTCCGGTCGGTCACATTGACATGACTCATCATCATTCTGTGTGCCCTGCAGAGTGGCAACAAGGTGACAGTGACCACCACACCATTTGAGAACACCTCCATCAAGGTGGGTCCGGCACGCAAGTCCAACTATAAGTGCAAGATGGCCCGACGCAATAAGAGGACCATCGGCAAAGAGGGACAGGAGAGGTACTGTAGTATGGCACTCTCATTTACAGTAGCTGTGTTATCATGTCTGCTGTACAATGGAGAAGAACAGTGACATGTTGTGTTTCTTTTACAGTTTGTTAATACCTTTCAGTATCTCTCCATATTATGTATTGCAGTATTCTCTACTACCCTCTCCTACTCAATCCCATATCCCTCTCTCTCTCTCCTCCCTACAGTAGGAAGCGTAGCTCCCTGTTCAGGAAGATCACTAAACAGTCTAACCTGCTCCACACCAGCCGCAGCCTGTCCTCTCTGAACCGCTCTCTGTCGTCCAGTGACAGTCTACCAGGCTCTCCTTCCCACAACCTGTCAGCCCGCTCCCCTACACAGGGATACAGGTCCACACCTGAGTCCTCCTACCTGGGTGAGTAACAGACCTGAGGGGTATACTGCAAAGCAGGATCAATGAGTTAGCCAGCTAACTTGCCTAACTATTCTGAAATAACTTTATATTTTTTTTAGAAAGATAAGCTTGAAATGTGTGTGGTCTAATTGACTCAACAACCAAAGACACATATCTAAGTTTTGCTTTCTTAATTAACTAGAAAACCAATAGTTGTTTCTGGTTGTTTATGGATTTTAGCTGACTAAGTCATTGATTCCGCTTTGTAGTATACCCCTCAGGGTTCAAAATAGTATTTGTTTTATTTCAAGTAAATAGAGTGTTTGAGATTGTCAGATGGGCAGGGTTTGGGACCCAGTTTTGGTTCCATTGCACCAGGCAAGCTGAATCAAACATTGTAATTGCAGTTGTGTCTGAACTGATTATTACTGTGTAACTGAAGAATCTGGTTTTCCCTCTCCTCTCTCTAGTCTCTCTTTCTCTAACCCTCTCTCTTTTCTCTTCCCTCTCCCCAGGTGTGTCCTCTCAGAGCAGCTCTCCTGCCTCCAGCACCCCAAACTCCCCTGCCGCCTCCCAGCACATGCGCCCCAGCTCCCTGCACGGCCTCTCCCCCAAGCTCCACCGCCAGTACCGCTCGGCCCGCTGCAAGTCCGCCGGTAACATCCCCCTCTCCCCCTTAGCCCACACCCCCTCGCCCACCCAGTCCTCCCCTCCCCCACTCCCGGGCCACACCATCGGTAGCTCCAACACCACCCAGACCTTCCCTGCCGGGGCAAAGCTCCACTCATCACCACCCGTGGTGCGCCCCAGGCCCAAGTCCGCCGAGCCACCCCGTTCCCCGCTCCTCAAGAGGGTCCAGTCGGCAGAGAAGCTCACCTCGCCTCTGTCTCATTCCCAGTCGTCGAGTGGTGGGGTGGGAGGGCCCCTGAGGAAACACAGCCTGGAGGTATTGTGAATGTGGCAATCTGAGATGTGTATTAGAGGTGTGACACATGGGTAACGTGTGCTATGTGTGTATTGTGTATGTGTCCAGTTTGTAATGTACAGTATGGTGTTGATTTAGTAATTTCATCTCATTTATTAGTTTAGGTATACAGGGGGAAAACATTTAAATACTGTTAAAAACAACACATTGGGAATTAATAGAACTTGAGCCCTTTTCAGTAGACCTAATGTATACAACATCACTATGTGTAAGACAATTTCCCCCTAAATAGAAGTTTATCCTATCCTATCCTAGGTCCAGCACTCAGACTTGTACCGCAAGGACCAGTTCCACTGTTGCGAGCTGGGGCTCCAGAGTTTGTTGGAGACGGAGGGGGAGAATCTACCACCTCCGAACCCCCCGCCTCTGCCCTCCACCCTGGGCTCCCTGGGTTCATCTACAGGGGCAACTACCACGACACCCGAAACGGGGGTGCTCAAGCCGATGAGGAAGTTAGGGAGGCAGGAGTCGCCGCTCAGTAGGGATACACTGTTGGCTGGTAGGGAGAGGGAAAGGGAGAGAGAGAGGAAGAGAGAGAGGGAAAGAGAAAGATCGAGGGAGAGGGTGGGAGAGATCATTATGGCTTATAGCAACAGGACAACAACCGTCCCAGAGAGGTCACCTAACCGAGGAGGAGCCACAACAGATAATCACCAATCAATAGCTAGAAAACCCTCAACCAGTGAGCATACCTTTAGCCCTCAGAGTAGCCCCACCTACAGAGCCCAATCCAGCCAATCGCCAAATCTGGAGTCCATCAAAACTACAAGTCCCATTACTCCCACTGGGTCACCAGGTGTCTTTAGGGGCCATCCAGAAGGAGCAGAGAAGAACCAGCGTCAGACAAACATGTCTACCAAGCAACAGAGCCTCCGAACGACCGTGAGTACAAGCCCTCTCAGCCAAGACCCCCAGGAGAAGCATGGAGGGGACAGAACGGAACCAAAGCTAAATGGAGAAAACAAGGTGTGTCCTCCTCCTCCTCCCAGGCCCAGCATGCCCTGTGGGGGCCCTCTAGGGAGAGGCACTAGTCCAGACAGAGGCATGGGTATGGGTGGATCATCATCAATAACGTCAGGGTCTACAGGTATGTTCAAGGCTAGTAGTAAACCATCAGGAATAGTAGGAGAGAGCCTGAGAAAGAATGGAGCCGAGAACAACGGCTCTCCAAGAACTTCAGAACTGGGGTTGAGAAGCCCCAAAAGCCCCAAACCTCCAGTCAGGGCCCTGGCTCCGGCTGTCCCACCCCACGGCCAACCCCTCTCCCTGAGCAAGGTGAGGCAGGGCCTGGGGCCCGTCAACTGCTACCGAGGGACCCTGGACTGGGAGGATAAATGTCGGCTGGAGGTAGTGGAAGAACACTCTCCATCCCCCTCCCCCTCCCCCACAGGCGTCACCCCCTCGCTCTGCGCACCCTCCTTCTGTCCAGGCAGGTCCAGGCCTGTTTCCCCCGGCGACAAGACCAGCTTCGTCACCCAGCTGACCAGTGCCGCTAAATTGGTCCTGGGGCCTATAAAGGGGTCAATGGCGTCCCAGTCCCAGGAGGGGCCCAAGGGGAAGGAGCTGAAAGACATGCCCAAGCCGGGTGAGGAGAAGCAAGGTGCCTCGGCAGGAAAGTCTGAGGAGTCCGGATGATTGGCGGTGGCACCAGAGTGGCTCAAAGTCTGTTACTCAGCCTGATAAGGCGAACACAGGTAGCAACTCCCCCAAATTGTAGCCCTTCTATCTAAAGGGAGTTTAGAGAGGAGGGCATTGAGAAATGAGATGCCTTTTCGGAGTTCTAGAACAATTCCACAATGTCAAGCACTTAAGGGAACATTCCAGTTCTAGAAGAGAACATCCACATGGTATTGACTGATCTGTAACCATGAATGAGCAGAACTGTTGTAAAGGTGCTTTTATGGCCATTTTCTATTATACAGTTAGTATATATTAAGACAACGCTCCACTTTATGAACTATTAGATATCTATAACAGATCTGTATGTATGTTGTATGTATGTATGTATGTATGTATGTATGTATGTATGTATGTATGTATGTATGTATGTATGTATGTATGTATGTATGTGAAATGAATGCATGTCATGTGGTACAGTTTGTGTGTTTATAGAAAAAAAAGGAGTGAAAAGTGCTTTACTGATCAAAACATGCTGAATACTGTGAAACACCAAATCCAGTTACTTACTCGGTTTTTCTATCTCGACCAAACAACCAACCACTTCTGTTTCTGTAATTCACTAAAATAAACTTAATCACAAGCAGAGGGTACGCTGAGGCACAATCAAATCATGACATCCTTGACAACAACAACAACAGAACACAAAATCCAATCTGCCGCTGTAGATTTGTCTTTGGAAAGTAAATGACAAAATGACTATTGTAAAATCCAATCACGCAGCCACTAGATTTTATTTTTAGAAAGTAAATGACAATATATGCCATTTAGCAGACACTTTTATCCGAAGCGACTTACAGTCATGCATGCATACAGTACATTTTTCGTATGGGTAACCCCAGTGGGAATCGAACCCACAGCCCTTGACTGAGCCACACAGGACCAATGACTACTGTAGGTTTGTGTTACTACTGTAAGGCCCATGACAAAGAATGATGGTCCAACACAACACCCACTGAAGTCCTCAGTTGATTAGCATAGCCAGATTAGCATAGCATGTTGTCAGTGAATGTCTGTAGACTAAGGAGGACATGAAACAACCTTGAGTTAGTTCTGGGTGAATCTTATAATAATAATAATAATCTTGAAGGCTATGGCACATTTGTGTGTCATGGATTGCGTCTGAAATGGCATCCTATTCCCTATAAAGTGCACTACTTTTGATCAGAGCTCCTGTGGTAGTGCACTATGTAGGGAATAGGGTGCATTTGGTGCCCTGGTAAAGAAGAGTAAAGCTGCTCTGACAGAACTGAAGCTCAGAGCGCTTATCTCTACAAAACAGGACTACTACTGCAGCCCGCACACACACACACACACACACACACACACACACACACACACACACACACACTGGTGTAAGAGGAGTTGATATTCATGGGTTTAAATCCCTGTGGTTGATGATTTGGGCCGTGTGAGTGTGTGCGTGCCCCAATGTGTGTGTCAGTTCAGGGATGGGTTCAGTAAGCCGGAAACTATATAGAAATGGACCGAATCCAAACTGGAATAACATTGATAAACTGGAACTGTATTTTGTTGTGAATAAAATGATCTGGTACATGATCCTGACTGCACAGCTACAGTAAGGACTTTACTGTAAATATCTGTAAAGACATGAAAAATACGTATTATTATACTGAAGTATTTATTCTATGGCTCTACTATTCGTACGTTCTAATTGTCATTCATCATGTTTTGTTTTGAACCAAAAAGTTGAAGAAGAAAAAGCAGGTGGAAATGGATGTAGCATATTTAATAGATGTCAAATGCATATTAAGGGCTTTATGGATGGATAAGATTGGGCTTTTCATTCTTTGATGTCAAATGGTCACTTGCTGTTGCTGTTATCTTTTATCTATCTGTTTCTCCATGAACCTTATTTTCATATTGGATTCCTTCCTAATTCTGGTGGCAGGTATCTGAGATTTTAACTGTTTGTTTTTAGCCTGGGTGCCAGTCTGTTTCTTGCCAACTCTGTATGGAATTGTCATGCCAAACAATGGCAATGGAGTAGGCAAACGCACAAACAGATTTGGGACCAGGCTATTCTGCGTGTTGAAATAATAATATGACTATCCATGTTTCACCACAGTAGGATCCACTGTAAGTTGAGCACTACAACTGTATGTGTGTAAAGATAATACACTGTGCATTATTTCAATGGTGAAATTATGATTAATCTCTCTCTCTCTCTCTCTCTCTCATTTCTCTTCTCTATCAAACATTTAACATCCATAATCTTTATGCGATTGATTGGCAATTGTTTGTTAGTAGGTGAAGAATATCAGATGTTGGAATTAGTCTGGTAGAACATTTTGTGATGATATGCAAGCTTTTATGTATTACATTACTTGGCTACTTTTCAGGGGACTTTCTGACTGTAGCCTATAACTTGGATCATACCGCCCCCTTGTGGTATATATATATATACAGTTGAAGTCGGAAGTTTACATACACCTTAGCCAAACACATTTAAACTCAGTTTTTCACAATTCCTGACATTTCATCCTAGTAAAAATTCCCTGTCTTAGGTCAGTTAGGATCACCACTTTATTTTAAGAATGTGAAATGTCAGAATAATAGTAGAGAGAATGATTTATTTCAGAGGAATGGGCCTAACTGAGTCAGGTTTGTAGGCCTCCTTGCTCGCACACACCTTTTCAGTTCTGGCCACATATTTTCTATAGGATTGAGGTCAGGGCTTTGTGATGGCCACTCCAATACCTTGACTTTGTTGTCCTTAAGCCATTTTGCCACAACTTTGGAAGTATGCTTGGGGTCATTGTCCATTTGGAAGACCCATTTGCGACCAAGCTTTAACTTCCTGACTGATGTCTTGAGATGCTGCTTCAATATATCCACATAATTTTCCTTCCTCATGATGCCATCTATTTTGTGAAGTGCACCAGTCCCTCCTGCAGCAAAGCACCCCCACAGCATGATGCTGCCACCCCCATGCTTCACGGTTGGGATGGTGTTCTTTGGCTTGCAAGGTACCCCATTTTTCCTCCAAACATAACGATGGTCATTATGGCCAAACAGTTCTATTTTTGTTTCATCAGACCAGAGGACATTTCTCCAAAAAGAATGATCTTTGTCCCCATGTGCAGTTGCAAACCGTAGTCTGGCTTTTCTATGGCTGTTTTGGAGCGGTGGCTTCTTCCTTGCTGAGCGGCCTTTCAGGTTATGTCGATATAGGACTCGTTTTACTGTGGATACAGATACTTTTGTACCTGTTTCCTCCAGCATCTTCACAGGGTCCTTTGCTGTTGTTCTGGGATTGATTTGCAATTTTTGCACCAAAGTACGTTCATCTCTAGGAGACAGAACGCGTCTCCTTCCTGAGCGGTATGACGGATGCGTGGTCCTATGGTGTTTATACTTGCGTACTATTGTTTGTACAGATGAATGTGGTACCTTCAGGTGTTCAGGAAAATTGCTCCCAAGGATGAACCAGACTTGTGGAGGTCTACAATTCTTTTTCTGAGGTCTCTGATTTATTTTGATTTTCCCATGATGTCAAGCAAAGAGGCACTGAGTTTGAAGGTAGACCTTGAAATACATCCACAGGTACACCTCCAATTGACTCAAATGATGTCAATTAGCCTATCAGAAGCTTCTAAAGCCATGACATCATTTTCTGGAATTTTCCAAGCTGTTTAAAGGCACAGTCAACTTAGTGTATGTAAACTTCTGACCCACTGGAATTGTAATACAGTGAATTATAAGTGAAATAATCTGTCTGTAAACAATTGTTTGAAAAATTACTTGTGTCATGCACAAAGTAGATGTCCTAACCGACTTGCCAAAACTATAATTTGTTAACAAGAAATTTGTGGAGTGGTTGAAAAACACGTTTTAATGACTCCAACCTAAGTGTATGTAAACTTCCGACTTCAACTGTATGTGTGCATATACAGTGGGGAGAACAAGTATTTGATACACTGCCGATTTTGCAGGTTTTCCTACTTAAAAAGCATGTAGAGGTCTGTAATTTTTATCATAGGTACACTTCAACTGTGAGAGACGGCATCTAAAAGAAAAATCCAGAAAATGACATTGTATGATTTTTAAGTAATTAATTTGCATTTTATTGCATGACATAAGTATTTGATACATCAGAAAAGCAGAACTTAATATTTGGTACAGAAACCTTTGTTTGCAATTACAGAGATCATACGTTTCCTGTAGGTCTTGACCAGGTTTGCACACACTGCAGCATTTTGGCCCACTCCTCCATACAGACCTTCTCCAGATCCTTCAGGTTTCGGGGCTGTCGCTGGGCAATACAGACTTTCAGCTCCCTCCAAAGATTTTCTATTGGGTTCAGGTCTGGAGACTGGCTAGGCTACTCCAGGACCTTGAGATGCTTCTTACGGAGCCACTCCTTAGTTGCCCTGGCTGTGTGTTTCGGGTCGTTGTCATGCTGGAAGACCCAGCCACGACCCATCTTCAATGCTCTTACTGAGGGAAGGAGGTTGTTGGCCAAGATCTCGCGATACATGGCCCCATCCATCCTCCCCTCAATACGGTGCAGTCGTCCTGTCCCCTTTGCAGAAAAGCATCCCCAAAGAATGATGTTTCCACCTCCATGCTTCACGGTTGGGATGGTGTTCTTGGGGTTGTACTCATCCTTCTTCTTCCTCCAAACACGGCGAGTGGAGTTTAGACCAACAAGCTCTATTTTTGTCTCATCAGACCACATGACCTTCTCCCATTCCTCCTCTGGATCATCCAGATGGTCATTGGCAAACTTCAGACGGGCCTGGACATGCGCTGGCTTGAGCAGGGGGACCTTGCGTGCGCTGCAGGATTTTAATCCATGATGGCGTAGTGTGTTACTAATGGTTTTCTTTGAGACTGTGGTCCCAGCTCTCTTCAGGTCATTGACCAGGTCCTGCCGTGTAGTTCTGGGCTGATCCCTCACCTTCCTCATGATCATTGATGCCCCACGAGGTGAGATCTTGCATGGAACCCCAGACCGAGGGTGATTGACCGTCATCTTGAACTTCTTCCATTTTCTAATAATTGCGCCAACAGTTTTTGCCTTCTCACCAAGCTGCTTGCCTATTGTCCTGTAGCCCATCCCAGCCTTGTGCAGGTCTACAATTTTATCCCTGATGTCCTTATACAGCTCTCTGGTCTTGGCCATTGTGGAGAGGTTGGAGTCTGTATGATTGAGTGTGTGGACAGGTGTATTTTATACAGGTAACGAGTTCAAACAGGTGCAGTTAATACAGGTAATGAGTGGAGAACAGGAGGGCTTCTTAAAGAAAAACTAACAGGTCTGTGAGAGCCGGAATTCTTACTGGTTGGTAGGTGATCAAATACTTATGTCATGCAATAAAATGCAAATTAATTACTTAAAAATCATACAATGTGACTTTCTGGATTTTTTTTAGATTCCATCTCTCACAGTTGAAGTGTACCTATGATAAAAATTACAGACCTCTACATGCTTTGTAAGTAGGAAAACCTGCAAAATCGGCAGTGTATCAAATACTTGTTCTCCGCACTGTATATATATATATATATATATATAACATTGTTCCATATCATAATCATAATGCCATGTAATTTAAACATAGTTTATTCAAAATACATATCTCATTTTATACTATTATGGAGTTTATTATCACCATATCTGAGAGCTACATACTGTTGTAACTACAGGTCAAGGTACTTAATATAGCAAGATATATTTTAGGGATGCTGTTGTAATGAAGAGGCCTAGGGCCCTGGCCTATTCAGACTTGAGATAAGAACACTTAACTTGGACTTAAGTCAAGAAACGTGGACTTAAGTCCAGGTTTTATTGACTTAAGTCCATGTTAACTCTACTTATCTCAAGTCTGAATTGGACCCCTACTGAATATACAGTTGTCCCTTGTTTTGGTAGATAACTGGAATGTTTGCAGTAGTTTACAATATATCCTAACATTCCACTTCTTGTTATTCTCTAACTGTTCAGAGATGGGTGGCTCTTTAGTGTTATTCTGTGACTGTTAGTTCTACCTTCAAATATAAAGGGAACCAGATAACATTTTGTCATATTTCCCATGTTATCCAGCTGATAACCTGATCACTAAGGTGGTCTTTATCGTAATATAATCATTGAAACATCAGGAGTAGGTACGTTAGTCAAAACTGGTCTGGGAAGAGAAAATACGTACACATTTTGAATAATAAACTCTTGTGGCCACCTGTGTATGCAAGGTTTTTTTCAGGCATATTTCCCTCAAAACTTTGCATGGATGAATTCTGTGGTATATAGAGATCCGTTTTACATGTTAACGATGGCAGAAAATGAATTGTTTGAAATGCACTTTATATTTTCAAGCGTTTCTTTCTTCATTTCTAAGTATTTGTTTTGGTCTGTATTGCTACAGTTATGTATTATCTGGGAGAAAATAAAATATAAACTGTACATAAACAAATATACAATTATATTTATTCACAATGACCACCAACGATTCATTTATCTCATTCACCTCATTTGAAAAAGTTATGTTGATAAAGGGCAAATATGATGACATTCTACCTTTCTCTTGTTGTTTGTCATTTCTCTGTTTCTTATTTCCATTTTACATGTTGGTCCATTAGCTAGCAGACGCTCTTATCCAGAGTGACTTACAGTCAGTGTAGTCAACTAAGGTAGATACAGCAATCACATATCAGTCATTGCAGGTATTTCCTCAATAAAGCAGATATCAGCAAAATCAGTGCTAGTAAGAAAATATAAATGGGAGTGTTCGTGCCAGAAAGACAAGTACAACAGTCTAATACTAGACACGTGAAGGGAAGAATGTGTTATACAATTCAGAAAATTTATTTAAACTTGAACTTCTGCCACTGTCATTTTCTTGTGCATGCCGATAAGAAATACAGGCCTGGAGCTCATAACATCAACCTGACTCCAGATGGCCAATGTTCAACAGCAAAGGAGACATAACATGTTCTATATTCTACAACCTTCGATTTCCACAAGAAACCTTGTGTGAATTTATTAAAATGACTTAAGTCCAGTGTAAACTAATGTGCATTCATAACTACATTATGTCCATCATAAAAATGTATATAACTATATGCAGATCAACTAGGCTAAACGTAGGAAACTAGATAACAGAGACCTTTGGTAGTTTGCACGAAAAGACAAGCAATACTGGTTAATCATAATAAAATGCATGATCTAATTTAATTCACAATTTCACAGGTATCTGTAGCCAACACCCATGGACATCAGATGCATTACATAACGTCAGTGTAAAATATTAGCCAATGAAACACGTGCTATACCTTTAAAAATATATATTATTATTATTTTGATATGATAAATCATGAATTTGTATTAAAAATTATACAGTACATCGAGAAACAGTAAACACAGAATTGTTGTATTACAAAACAGATGATAGAAAAAGTGTCTCTACATCTGTCTCACTACCCCCACTCTCTGATCATCGCTACTCTCTCTGATCATCGCTACTCTCTGATCATCGCTACTCTCTCTGATCACATTGATCCAGCTTCTTCTTCTATCCAGATTAGACGAAATACATAATATCCACAGAGGGCTTTCCCAGGCTCCATCACCACTGGCAGAGGCAGCCCCAGGCACTCCACCTGTCGCCTGTACTCATCCATCGCCTCCTCTAGTCAAGAGTCTCCAGGGATAAAGGGTGGCTCCGGCTGCCTGCGACGAGGGCCCATCTCCCCAAGAGCTGCTTGTCTAGTTGTGGTGGATCCATGGGCTTAAGCAGGTCCTCACAGCCTAGAGCAGCAGGAGTTGATTGGCTAAAAGACAGGAAGTAGAGGAGAGTCGTGGCACATAGAGCGAACATGGGGTCAGTATCTAGGTCTCACTATATCTATGCACCAGTATATCTATCTACTGTGGGTCTATCTATATCTATAGTATCTACAATATGTATCACTATATCTTATATATTTCTATGTATCACTATATCTATCTTATATATTTCTATATCTACAGTATCTATCTACTGTATGTCTATCTATGTGTCACTGATGTGTCTGTGTGTACCACTGGTGCTGGGCTAGAGGGGTCCAGTCTTATAGCTCTGCTGTCATGCTTCGGCACAATGTCCTTCAATATCAGAAAGTTCCCCAGTTGCCAATAAAATGGCAATTTTCCCTGGCAAATCGAGGATTACGAAATAAATGTTTTGTGCACGCTTATTTGAAAATATTGACAAAAATGAACAATTCAATATACAAGTCAGGCAAGATCCCACATTACACACACTGTACACAGAAACATCTAAATAAATAATATAAATAAAATTAAGGAGATGAGATCACAATTTCTTCATACATCAAAAATAATATTCTAAAGTACAAATGCTTTTTTTGTAACTTAAGGGAATTCAAAAGACCTACAAATTCATATGTAAAGGCTTGAAGTCTTAAAAAAATTATAACATTAACAATTAATTATAGTTTGTTATTGCAGTAAAAAAGTATGTATTTTTTGCTCAAGGTAAAGTTATATAGAGACTTATACAACAAGATCATCCCAGAGTTCTACAATTATGATTAGAAGATATTTAGAAAACAGAGTTTGCACTATTAGTCACATGACATGCTCAGGAGAGCATGCCAAGGACAAGCAGTACAGGTTAATCATAATAAAATGTATGATCTAATTTCATTCACACAGTACATTACGCCTGTACACCCCATGGACGCCAGCTGATTTACATAATATAACGAACGTCAATGTGTTAAATATTAGCCAATAAAACGCGCGCTACGTCAATATATTTGCGCATATCAATAAATTGACCAATCATGTTGTTATTACAGCCTGTCAGGAAGTATCTAGATCCCTCCCTCTTGTGTGTCGTCAAACCGCTGATCCTGCAAGCTAACTAGCTCAGTCGTAGAGCAACCGACGAAGGAAATCGTCGGGTGAGCTATAATTCCACTGAGTTTACTCGTTGGATGTAGAATAATTACTGTTAATCGCTGACATTGGCTGTGGTTGTCCTGGAGTCGTCAAGAAAGCCGAGACATTAACGTGTTAGCTTGTTTTCTACAAAGTTGCTAACCAGACACGTTGACAGCTAGCAGGCTACCACAGCAGAACTACGTGGTCTCAACCCTGCACTGCCGTCGCCGTTCTATCAAGCAAATCTCTCATGTCAACGACACTCTTCACAAAGTGGTAAGGTTATGATCTTGGCTGTGTTGTGTTGGATGAGGTTTAGCTAGTAACTAACTAGATAGTAGTTAAGCCAATATCTATTTAAGCCAGCCAGCCTGTAGGTCCTTAATATGCATAACTAGCATGTTAGAGCTAGTGATTTTAAGAAACATGACAGCTTGGCTACTTCTTAAATAATTGGATGGTTATCATACCTAATAGTTAGATCACAGTCAAAGGTCACAGATAGGCTACAGTGTAGACATAGCTAGTTAGTTAACTACATATTTTGACCATCAGCTACCAAGGCTTCTCACTCTCTTCCCCCCAGCTATTTGTTGTCACACCAATCACATGATGGCTATTCAATCGGATTTTCCCAGAAAGGACAGAAATTCCTCTTCCCATGAGGGTAATTCAACTATTTCCAGTTTCACTACAGAGTGGGAAGTCAAGTCACTTGTACTACATTCCTGGGTTACTGTGTCTGTTACTGTGTAACCTCTGTTATCTTGTCACTCAGGCACATCATCCTGTGATGACTCTAAACTGAGTGACACTCACCCACAGCTTCTTTCAACTATACTGAACAAAAATATAAAACGCAACATGTAAAGTGTTGGTCCAGTGTTTCATGAGCTGAAATAAAAGATCTCAGACATTTTCCATATGCTTTTCTCTCAAATTTTGTGCACAAATTAGTTTACATCCCTGTTAGTGTGCATTTCTCCTTTGCCAAGATAATCCATCCACTTGACAGGTGTGTCATATCAAGAAGCTGATTAAACAGCATGGTCATTACACAGGTGCACCTTGTGCTGGGGACAGTAAAAGGCCACTCTAAAATGTGCAGCTTTGTCACACAACACAATACCACAGAAGTCTCAAATTGAGGGAGTGTGCAATTGGCAAGCTGACTGCAGGAATGTCCATCAGAGCTGTTGCTAGAGAATTTAATGTTAATTTCTCTACCATAAGCCGCCTCCAATGTCATTTTAGAGAATTTGGCAGTATGTCCAACCGGCCTTGCAACCGCAGACCACGTGTAACTAAGACAACCCAGCATATCTGTATTCCTAGTCGTGAAATCCATAGATTAGGGCATAATGAACTAACTCAGTAAAATATTTGAAATTGTTGCATTTATTTTTGTTCAGTGTAGTTTCACTCAGGGGGAAGGAGGGAGAAGTGGTTTACTTTGAAACTGACTGTGACTAATATTGTTTTTCCCAATAGCATTCACTAGCCTAACCACTGCGACAGCTGCTCGTCTGCATAATAATAGCAAAGTCATCAACTTTTTAAGCCCTGCCACTTTCAGATCCACTTTCTTGCGAATCTGCGTGAAATGAGAGAAAATCGGCCTCACATCTGTCATTGCTTAGATGCACAACTAGCTTAACCGCTCTGTCTTTCAATGTCAATGTTTAAACGTCCCATAGTGCTGGACAGACACATGGACAAAAGGAGAGCGACACACAGCCCTTACTCCATAGCTAATCAAATTACACGTGCATGCACTGTCCTAGACATTTCTCTCTCTCATCCCCATCCCTCTCTCTCTCTCATCCCCATCTCTCTCTCTCTCTCATCCCCATCCCTCTCTCTCTCTCATCCCCATCCCTCTCTCTCTCTCATCCCCATCCCTCTCTCTCTCATCCCCATCCCATCTCTCCTCTCTCTCATCCCCATCCCTCTCTCTCTCATCCCCATCCCTCTCTCTCTCTCATCCCCATCCCTCTCTCTCTCTCATCCCCATCCTCCTCTCTCTCTCATCCCCATCCCTCTCTCTCTCTCATCCCCATCCCTCTCTCTCTCCATCCATCCCCATCCCTCATCCATCCCTCTCTCTCCATCTCCCCACCTCTCTCTCTCTCTCCTCCCCCATCCTCTCTCTCTCTCTCATCCCCATCCCTCTCTCTCTCTCATCCCCATCCGTTCCTCTCTCATCCACCTCTCTCTCTCCATCCCCTCTCCCTCCTCTCTCTCTCTCATCTCTCTCTCATCCCCCATCCCTCCTCTCTCATGCCCCACCCGCGCTCAATCTCTCATTCCCCAATCCTCTCTCTCTCATCTCCTCTCCTCATCCCCATCTCTCATCTCTCTCTCACCCACCCATCTCATCTCTCTCTCATCCCCACCCACCTCTCGCTCTCTCTCGCATCCCCACCCCTCACTCTCTCATCCCCACCCCCTTCTCTTCCCTTTCTCTCCCTCCCTCTCTTCCCTCAGGTCCCTATTGCTATGAGGATCTCTAGAGCCCAGCTGTAAGCCTGAGCCATGAACTCAGTGTCTCCCAGTGCAGTTCAGTATGTGGGGGGAGTAGGAGTGGTGGGTCAGGATGACACCCTCCAGAGAGAGGAGACCAAGAGGCCACAGCAGCCCCAGCTGGTGGACCCTGGCGGAGGATGTAGCTTTGGGAACCGGCAGGGTACTGATGTCGGTGGGGGTGGAGCCAGGGAGGCCACCACCGCCGGAGAGCCAGACGAGGTTGACAAACTCAAGACCAAGCTGATGTCGGCGTGGAATAACGTCAAATACGGTCAGTCAGTGGGTTCATTTGAATTTTGTTCCATAAGGTGGATAGTTCTATATAGCTGTTTAACTAGCAACAAACTTAACTTCCAGTTTTTCCATACAGTCAGGTTTAACAATTGCTTTTTTTTATTTATTAAGAAATAGCAACAAGGGGGATTTTATAGTCTTTGTACTTTCTGTGTATGAATAATCTTTGTTAGGTCATTTATTTTTCCAAAACAGAAGTCTCATACAAAGCTATGTGTAATAGCCCTCCCGAAGTCAACTTCCCCCTTCCTCACCCAGTCATCAAGACACAAAGAATCCCCTCTAAAAATGTCTGTTCTGTTTCTTGGCCCTCTTTAGGCTGGTCGGTGAAGTCGAAGACCACATTCAACAAGAGCTCTCCGGTGACTGTAATGGGCCACTCCTATCTGCTCAATAGTGAAGGTAGCTAACCTCCAACAACCCCACTCCAACCTCAAGACTTCCTGGTAAAATGGATGACGCTCTCTGCTCCATACCCAGTGAGCAAAATTGGTTGGAAAGATGTATTTTAACCAGTTCTGCTCACTGGGTATCTCTCTCCCCTTCCAGATGCGGTGGAGTGGTTCAGGCGGGCGTTCGTGTCTCGGCTGTGGCTGACCTACCGTAGGGAGTTCCCCCAGCTGGAGGGCTCCACCTTGACTACAGACTGTGGCTGGGGCTGTATGCTGCGGAGCGGACAGATGCTGCTGGCCCAGGGCCTACTGGTACATCTGATGCCACGAGGTGAGACAGCTCATAGTTTGAAAGGGTCCTCTTTTTTAACGTTATGAGACAACTTGACCAACTCTGTCCCAATCCCAAATGGACCCCTACGTCCTATGCACTTACAATTGTGTAGAGCTGAGATGATTTGTTTGGTATAAGCAATATGATTGGTGAAACTTCCACCTAGCCTATCAGAGGGCAAAGTGGAGCTGTTACCATATTGCATACACCTGTCAAATCCACCAGTGCATAGGGTTTAGGGGTCCATTTGGGACTGGGCCCCTATCTGTTTCTCTTTCTGCCACATCTCTCTTCAACTTCTGTCTGTTTCTTTCTCTGTTTCCTGGTCTGTCTCCCCTCTCTCTCTCTCCTCCCTCTGTCTGCCTCCTCCTTCCACCTCCCATCGATCACTACTAACTGTCTGTATTGTATTGTCTAGACTGGTCGCAGCCCATCGATCACTACTGTCTGTATTGTATTGTCTAGACTGGTCGTGGCCAGACGTCCAGCAGTTCGCTGACGTGGACTTTGAGGCTCTGAGACCCCGCTCCCCATCCCGCGCTGGGGGCGTACCCATCCCCTCCTTCGGCTACTCCTCCTCCTCGCGGACCCCCACCACGCCCCAGAAGACCTCCATGCCAGGGGACACGGTTCTCAACCATAACCAGAAGAAGAGGCCTGAGTCGGGCAGGGACAGGCAGGCTGAGCCCCTCCACCGGAGGATTGTAGCCTGGTTTGGGGACGAGCCCCCGGCCCCGTTTGGGGTGCACCAGCTGGTAGAATTGGGGAAGAGCTCGGGGAAGAAGGCAGGGGACTGGTACGGCCCCTCAGTAGTGGCACACATACTACGGTGAGGAGCGCTACATGGTCAAGGTAATGATGCTGTCAGAGCATCAGCCATAGAAATAGAATCTATAGAACGGACCTCCTCATTCAAGTCAGTGATGGCATCAGCATGCATTTGATTTCTATACCTAGATTTTTGATGGATGTCTGTATTGCCATAGTGCATCAGAATTATCTCCAGTGGACATGTTTACCAATGCAATTTTATTGTGTAGATGTTTTGGTCGCTATTATGTTTTTTAAGGAGGCTTGGTGGTGTGCCTGACTGCCTGTTGACGTTTACCAGGGTTAGGGTCAATTTGGTTTACTTTCTGAATTGAAATTGAATTGAACTGAACCCTGATATTGACTTCTTGCCCAGTAGCATCAGTATGTTGTGACATTAAACATGAGCTGTATCTTTGTTTTCCAGAAAAGCAGTGGCCAAGACTTCTGAGGTTCACAACCTGGCTGTATATGTAGCGCAGGACTGTACCGGTGAGTTTGACATTACATTGTACCTTTCCTACTGGGTGCTCATTACTGGGTGGTAGGGTTGGGCGGTTTCCAGATTTTCATAACGTCATACCGTCCTTCTCTCATTCTGGGATTGACAGTATTACCGGCTTAGTACACAAGGGGTCGCCAAAAACGCAAGAAAGACCATGGTGGTCTGTTACCAGAATGCTAACAAAATTAGCACAAGTAATAGCGAATTTCCATTAAGGCTGCTAGCTAAATATGCTAACGAGCGCAAATTAAAATAAATGAATTGCAAAGACAGGCAATCCAGCTCATAAAGTTATACATATATACAAAAGTATGTGGACACCCCTTCAAATAAGTGGATTTTGCTATTTCACTTAACTGTAAGTGCTGTTACTGTGAAGTGGAAAGGCCACACAAGCTCACAGAACGGCACCGCTGAAGCGCGTAGCGCATAAAAATCGTCTGTCCACGTTTGCAACACTCACTACTGAGTTCCAAACTACCTCTGGAAGCAACATCAGCACAATAACTGTAGGTCGGGAGCTTCATGAAATGGGTTTCCATGGCCGAGCAGCTGCACACAAGCATAAGATCACCTTGCGCAATGCCAAGCGTTGGCTGGAGTGGTGTAAAACTCACTGCCATTTGACTCTGGAGCATTGGAAATGCGTTCTCTGGAGTGATGAATCACACTTCACCATCTGGCAGTCCGACGGACAAATCTGGGTTTGGTGGATGCCAGTAGAACGCTAACTGCCCGAATGTATAGTACCAACTGTAAAGTTGGGTGGAGGAGGAATAATGGTCTGGGGCTGTTTTTCATGGTTCGGGCTAGGCCCCTTAGTTCCAGTGAAGGGAAATCTTGAAGCTACATTATACAATGACATTCTAGATGATTCTGTGCTTCCAACTTTGTGGCAACAGTTTGGGGAAGGCCCTTTCCTGTTTCAGCATGACAATGCCCCCGTGCACAAAGCGAGGTCCATACAGAAATGGTTTGTCGAGATTGTTGTGGAAGAACTTGACTGGCCTGTACAGAGCCCTGACCTCAACCCCATCGACCACCTTTTTGGATGAATTGGAATGCCGACTGCGAGCCAGGCCTACTCGCCAAACATCAATTCCCAACCTTACTAATGCTCTTGTGGCTGAATGGAAGTCCCCACAGCAATGTTTAAACATCTAGTGGAAAGCCTTCCCAGAAGAGTGGAAGCTGTTATAGCAGCAAAGGGGGGACCAACTTCATATTAATGTCCATGATTTTGGAATGAGATGTTCAACGAGCAGGTGTCCACATACTTTTGGTCATGTAGTGTAGGTAGGAGCTACCGAATGTCATTTTTGGTGAGTTTGGACATTTTACAAGCGAATGTGAACGAAAGACAATACGTTTTTGACGCAAACTTGTCTGCATTTGTACACACTGTGTCTAGTCTGGAGTCGCTAGGGCAACAGGCCAGCCTGCTCTGCTTGGAGAAGAGGGGGGAGGAGCAGACGGGCCGAGAACGGAGAGGAGAAAAAACGGCAAGGAAATGAAACGATAGCAGTGGTACAGCTGTACAGATAACTCAACTCAACCAGAGGGCTTTTAACTTCTCAAACACGGCAGGAAGCTAACACAAGATGATGCCCCGCCACCTTATTCATTCAGTAACTTACTTGGATAACTAGCAAGTTAAACTTAGGGGTCGCGTTAACGCAGAATTATTCATTTTTCACGCAGTAAAAAAATATAAAACACGTAAAAAACGCATATCTAAAATGCTGCTTATTGGAATTTCTACTGGGTGCTCATGAATGGGTGGTGAGGTTGACTTCACACTACCTTTCCTACTGGGTGCTCATTACTGGGTGCTTGGTTAGTGTCTGTGGTTAGTGTCTGTGGTTAGTGTTGTCGTTTGTCGAATTCACCAGATATTGTATGTATGTTTGGTCCATCTTAAATGTTCTCGTCATAAGTTATGTTTTTGTCATTGGTAATGAATGAATAGTCCTTGAAGCAGTCTTCTGAATGTAGCTGAACTGTGTGTCTCATTTCTGTATCACAATTAAATTACAAAACTGGGGGGGGACAGAAATGCAATTTCAGAATGTGGGGGGGCAAAAATGCAATTTCAGAATGTTGGGGGGGGACGTCCCCCATGTCCCTAGTGAAACTTACACCCATGGTGTCCTTGTGTGTTTCTTGCAGTGTACAAAAAGGACGTGGTGCATCTGTGTGACCAGTCGTTGAACCAGAGTATATCGGATCCTGAGGCCAGTGGTCCAGGCTGGAAGTCTGTCATCATACTGGTTCCAGTCCGACTAGGAGGAGACTCTCTCAACCCCTCCTACATCCAGTGTGTCAGGGTGTGTACCCACACACTTTCATAACCTAACCTTAGTCACAAAGCTTTATCCATGGTTGATGTCACTCTAACAGGAATATGGATTTCTTTGTATCTTAAGAACATTCTCAGGTTAGAATGCTGTATCGGAATCATCGGCGGCAAGCCCAAGCATTCGCTGTTCTTTATCGGCTGCCAAGGTAAGAACTCCACTCTACTTCCTGGTTCGGTTGCTTCTGATTGGACAGTGGGCTGTCATTTAACCTCGCCTTCTTCCTACTTCCTGTCCAATCAGATGAGCAGCTGCTGTATCTGGACCCTCACTACTGTCAGGCCGTGGTGGACGTCACTCAAGACAATTTCCCACTGGAGGTTGGTTGGACTTTATCACTCTTCTCTCTCCTTTGCTGCCCTGTCTATCTTTGGATGTTGTCTGTCTGTGCTATGTCCCAGATAAGCATGTTTTGACCGGATCAAAGTAGTTCATTTCAGATTCAGATGTGTAGCTTGCCTTGTCTGTAATGATCTCCCTCTCTCTTTCCCTCCTCCTCTCTCTCTCCCCTCCCTCCCCCTCTCTATCTCTCCTCCCCAGTCGTTCCACTGTAGCTCACCCAGGAAGATGCCTTTCAGTCGCATGGACCCCAGCTGTACTATAGGCTTCTACGCCAAGAACAAGAAGGACTTTGAGTCTCTGTGTTCCGCCGTCTGTGTGGTGAGCTCAGCCTCTTGGGCTCATTTCAAGTCTCTTATTACTCATATATACATTCATCACTTATGCATCATTTATACATCAGTTATGCATCACACATAGATCATTTTATAGATATCTTTAACTTCGACCCTGATATGATTTATAGAAACATGAGTTGAAGCGATGTAACTTAGATGGCTTATTTGTCACTTATAGATAGACATGTTACACATCTATTACGCATCAGTGATACATCACTTATACATCAGTTACACTGTTACTGTATACATCACTTATACATCAGTTACACTGTTACTGTATACATCACTTATACATCAGTTACACTGTTACTGTATACATCACTTATACATCAGTTACACTGTTACTGTATACATCACTTATGCATCAGTTACACTGTTACTGTATACATCACTTATACATCAGTTACACTGTTACTGTATACATCACTTACATACAGCTCTTATTAAAGTCAACCAGAATAAGATAAGTGACTAATTCAACACTTTCATATTCCCCCCACCCCAGGCCCTATCGTCGTCCGAAGAGAAGTACCCCATCTTTACCTTCGTGGAGGGCCAGGCCCAGGACTATGGACTGGTGGGCCACAGCTCCTCCCATGGCACCGCCCACATCCTGCCCCAAGGCAAGCTCAGCAGGAGCAACAACATAGGCAGCTCTGACGAATTTGTCTTCCTGTGAGTACTGGGTTGTGTACCTGAGGAACAGAATGTAAGCAAACGGGCCAGAACAGGGAAAGACTACCCGATTTAGAATTTTGGGATGGATTCGGTTTCCCTGTTTTATAGTGGATATATGCTTTCTGCTGTATCACAAACTCTGGCATTTGTACCCGTCATATTCGAGGCGAGGCTTCAACTGAATCTCACTATCGGTCTGTCTCTGTCTGGGCAGAAACGGGTCTTATAAACTAACGCTAGACATTACTAAGTTAGACTGTTGCCCAATCCCAAATGGACCCCTACGCCCTATACACTGGTGGAGATCTGAGAGGATTGGACAGGTCTTAGTAATATAAACTCCACTAGGCTAGGTGGAAGCTTATACCAATCAAATCTGCTCCCATCTCCACAAGTGCGTAGGGATTTGGGATGGGGCCTCTGACTTCATTTTGGGAATAATAACAACTGGAAACATGGGGCCTGTTTGATACATGCTACATGACAGGAGTCACTAGTAGTGGAAGACATAAGTAACTCAGCACTGTTCTCTCTGACTTGTATTATAATACTGCTGTACACTCCTGTTTTTTGTTGGTGTTGACTTTTTAAATTAATGTATGTTCTGTAAGAGCTATTAAGTGTGACTGGTGTGTGTTAAATGTAATGATTTGTGTGTGAACTGAAGCTGTTGGTGTGTTGAGTTGCTGTTAAATCAAATCACATTTTATTTGTCACATGCGCCGAATACAACAGGTGTAGACCTTACAGTGAAATGCTTACTTACAAGCCCTTAACACTTATTTTTCTTAAAACTGCATTGTTGGTTAAGTAAAAATAGATAAGTGAAAAATAATTTAAGAGCAGCAGTAAAATAAAATAACAGTAGGGAGGCTATATACAGGGGGGTACTGGTACAGAGTCAATGTGCGGGGGCACAGGTTAGTCCAGGTAATTGAGGTAATATGTACATGTAGGTAGAGTTAAAGTGACTATGCATAGATAATAAACAGAGTAGCAGCAGAGTAAAAGAGGGAGGGAGGGGGGGACAATGCAGAGAGAACAGTCTATGACTAGGGTGGCTGAAGTCTTTGACAAGGTTCACATTCCTCTACTGTACTCTCTTATAGTCCCTATGCCATCTTAATTCAGTGTCATGGCTATAGTACTACATTAATACTACATGGCTATAGTCATTTCATTGCAGCATTGCAACCCTCCCTGTAGTTGTGCAGTCCTTTGTCACACCCTTCAGGCAACGATAAGATACCTGGGCTCCCTACCAACCCTCGCTCACTATTTTCCAGACCTGGGTTCAAATAGTATTTTTATTTTTTTCCTAAAGTGTTGATTGAGCCTGCCTGGGGTGCCAGATGGGCAAAGTTAGCACTTTTGGGATTATTCTCTTGTTGTATTCTCTTTTCTGAGCGCTAGGCAAGCTCAGAAAACCAATACTAATTGAACCACAGATCTGCTACACTCTCACACTATTTCATCAGCTCTCACTTGTCAATTAGTCTATTACCAGTATCAACTTGCAACACACTAACAGGAATCCACTGTTACAGCAATAGCCCGTTTTGTGTCATGTGTTACACCAGCTCCTACCTAGATGATAGGAAATGATCCATTTACCAAGAGGCTGTGTCCAAAATGGCATCCTATCCCCTACATAGTGCACTACAGAATAGGATGCCATTTTGGATGAAGACAGTTTTTGGCGTTTTTGAAAACCTGTAACTGCCATTTCCTTCATTCTAGAGCAAAAAAAAATCTGTATACAATAACAAATAAAGTAAATTATAGTGGCGCAGATAGTCCACAAGGTGGCGTAGTGCCTCTTACATTCATTCTTTGGGGAGAATCCTGCCTTTTTTTTTTGTTGTCATTTAGCAGACGCTCTTATCCAGAGCGAGTTGGTGAATGCATACATTATTTTTTATTTTTTCATACCCCCCGTGGGAATCGAACCCACAACCCTGGCGTTGCAAACGCCACGCTCTACCAACTGAGCTACATCCCTGCCGGGCCATTCCCTACCCTGGATGACGCTGGGCCAATTGTGCGCCGCCCCATGGGTCTCCCAGTCGCGGCCGGCTATGACCGAGCCTGGATTCGAACCAGGATCTCTAGTGGCACAGCTAGCACTCCTTTCTGTCATGCTGATCTTAATGTAATAAAATGTTTGCTTTTACCATAGAGGTCCTATTAAATTACTAGAGGGAGTATACATAAACCCTCAAAGTTCCATAATGGGGTGAAAATGGCAGCCATCTTGGTCAGTGAGAAATCCAAAAACAGTCTAGTAGAGGCAAGGTGATGCATTTCTTGCTAAAACGAAGGCATGTAATGTGTCAACCTAAAATATTGTCATATAATTAACAAAGTTTATACATACGGGTTTTATACACATTTTCGGTATAAATAGCCTCTAAAATATATGTAAACAGATTGTTTTTTTATTTGAAAGCTGTGACTGCTATATGATAGAATAGCTGTACTTGTTGCATTTACAACTTGTCTAAGTCCTATTATTAATGGATTTCAACCAGTGTATGGCTGTGGATTGACTGCATTGTTTGAATGGAATGTTGGCAAATTGGCAGTTAATTTGAAAAATGTATGGAATCATTCCTCTAAAACTGGCTGGCCTGCTAACACACAGATACATGTATTATCACAGCACTTTGCTACTTGCACTACCATTTAGGACACAACTTCTTTAACACTTGAAGCACGTTGTGAGTTAGCTATCTGGTACTTTCAGTCCTTTCACAACTTCCATTTATTATGGTTGAGTTAAAAGCCTTGCACTTTGGAGACCTGCATATCAGTATCTAAGCCAGGGCTGTTCAATTCCGGTCCTGGAGGGCCAAAACACATCTGTTTTTTGTTTCTACCTGGTAGTTAATTGCACTCACATGGTGTCCCAGCCAGGTCTAAATTAGGCCCTTATTAGAAGGAGAGGATGAAAACCAGAAGTGTTTTGGCCCCCCAGGACCGACATTGAACAGCCCTGATCTCACATTTTTAATCAGGCTTCTCGCCTGCAGGCTGTTCTGACCTTGAGCCAGAAACATAGCGATAAGTACTGTATCTCACTATGGTCAGAAAAGAAGCATGCCATTGGCTACAGAATGTGTATGCATAGAAATAGAATCGGTAGAATGGAGATCCCATTCAAGTCAATGATTCTATTTCAGAATGTACAGTACATACATAGAAATATAATTGGTAGAATGCAGATCTCTATTCAAGTCAATCTGTAAATTATTCTATCATTCTATTTCTATGTTGCAGTGTTGTCAATAGTTCAGTCAGTCATGATGTGATGATCTTGCTGTCATGGATGTGCTCCGTCCACATCGTGTATCATGTGACACACTAAAACAACAATGGCTTGCTTTAGTTTTAATGTCCTGGAAATCGCACTGTATGCAACAGGTATCCTCTAAGGTGCAAATCTTGACTTTCACTTAACCTGAATGTTTACTGATCATTCATTGATGTCAATGGGAGAATAAGTGAAAATGTGAGGTTAAGATTCGCCCCAAAAATCTGTCTATTTCACCCTTGTCCATGTGTATATATCATAAAAGTGACATTTACTTTCACAATCAAGTGAATAATTGTCATGTGTAAATTGTTGTGTAAAAGTCTTACATTTGCTAATGACCACCCAAATAAGGGACTGCATTTATGTGTAAAACATAACTTTGTAGAACTGCTGTATAGAACATTATTAAAGTTATTTTTTTTTTGTATTTATTGTCTGAAGATAAGATTGATTGATGAACTCTTGGCCTACCTGTGTATATTTTATGCCAGCCAGGTTGCTGGCGAGTAACAACCTCCTTATCCAAGTATCTATCGTCCCACAGTCACAATCTGTATCCAGTATAAAGACTAGTACCTCCTACAGTGCCTTCAGAAAGTATTCACACCCCTTGACTTTTTCCACATTTTGTTGTGTTACAAATTGGGATTAAAATGAATAATACGTTACAGCATTATTCTAAAAGGGATTAAAGTGTTTTGTTCCCCCTCATCAATCTTTACACAATACCCCATAATGACAAAGCAAAACAGGTTTAGAAATGTTTGCACATTTATAAAAAAAAAAAAAAAAAAAAAAAAATCACATTTACATAAGTATTCAGAACCTTTACTCAGTACTTTGTTGAAGCACCTTTGGCAGCGATTACAGCCTCGAGTCTTCTTGGGTATGACGCTACAAGCTTGGCACACCACTATTTGGGGAGTTTCTCCCATTCTCCTCTGCAGATCCTCTCATGCTCTGTCAGGTTGGATGGGGAGCGTCGCTGCACAGCTATTTTCAGGTCTCTCCAGAGATGTTAAATTGGGTTCAAGTCCGGGCTCTGGCTGTGCCACTCAAGGACATTCAGAGACTTGTCCCGAAGCCACTCCTGCGTGGTCTTGGCTGTGTGCGTAGGGTCGTTATCCTGTTGGAAGGTGAACCTTCGTCCCAGTCTGAGGTCCTGAGCACTCTGGAGCAGATTTTCATCAAGGATCTCTGTACTTTTGCTCCGTTCATCTTTCCCTCGATCCTGACTAGTCTCCCAGTCCCTGCCGCTGAAAAACATCCCCACAGCATGATGCTGCCACTACCATGCTTCACCGTAGGGATGGTGCCAGGTTTCCTCCAGCTGTGACGCTTGGCATTCAGGCCAAAGACTTCAATCTTGGTTTCATCAGACCAGAGAATCTTGTTGCCTTTTGGCAAACTCCAAGTGGGCTGTCATGTGCCTTTTTTAAATAGTACCCGCAAAACACCAGTCTCAACGTCAACAGTGAAGAGGCGACTCCGGGATGCTGACCTTCTAGGCAGAGTTGCAAAGAAAAATCCATATCTCAGACTGCCCATCTTAATCTTTTCTTTTTATTGGCCAGTCTGAGATATGGATTTTTCTTTGCAACTCTGCCTAGAAGGTCAGCATCCCGGAGTCGCGTCTTCACTGTTGACGTTGAGACTGGTGTTTTGCGGGTACTATTTAATGAAGCTGCCAGTTAAGGACCTGTGAGGCGCCTGCTTCTCAAACTAGACACTCTAATGTATTTGTCCTCTTGCTCAGTTGTGCACCGGGGCCTCCCACTCCTCTTTCTATTCTGGTTAGAGCCAGTTTGCGCTGTTCTGTGAAGGGAGTAGTACACAGCATTGTACGAGATCTTCAGTTTCTTGGGAATTTCTCGCATGGAATAGCCTTCATTTCTCAGAACAAGAATAGACTGACGAGTTTCAGAAGAAAGTTATTTGATTCTGGCCATTTTGAGCATGTAATCGAACCCACAATTGCTGATGCTCCAGATACTCAACTAGTCTCAAGAAGGTCAGTTTTATTGCTTCTTTATCAGCACAACAGTTTTCAGCTGTGCTAACATAATTGCAAAAGGGTTTTCTAATGATCAATTAGGCTTTTAAAATGATAAACTTGATAAATGATAAAGGATTAGCAAACACAACGTGCCATTGGAACACAGGACTGATGGTTGCTGATAATGGGCCTCTGTACGCCTATGTAGATATTCCATTAAAAATCAGCTGTTTCCAGCTACAATAGCCATTTACAACATTAACAATGTCTAAACTGTATTTCTGATCAATTTTATGTTATTTTAATGGATTATAAATTTGCTTTTCTTTTGAAAACAAAGACATTTCTAAGTGACCCCAAACTTTTGAACGGTAGTGTAAGTATTCACACCCCTGAGTCAATACATGTTAGAGTCACCTTTGCCAGCGATTACAGCTCAAGTATTTCTTGGTAAGTCTCTAAGAGTTTACACACCTGGATTGTACAATATTTGAACAAAATGTGTTTATTCTTCAAGATCTATCAAGTTGGTTGTTGATCATTGCTAGACAGCCATTTTCAAGTCTTGCCATAGATTTTCAAGCCAATTTAAGTCAAAAATCTTACTAGGCCACTCAGGAACATTCAATGACATCTTGGTAAGCAACTCCAGTGTATATTTGGCCTTGTGTTTTGGGTTATTGTCCTGCTGAAATGCGACTTTGTCTCCCAGTGTCTGTTGGAAAGCAGACTGAACCAGGTTTTCCTCTAGGATTTTTATTCAGTTTCTTTTTATCCAAAAAACTCCCTAGTCCTTGCTGATAACAAGCATACCTATAACATGATGCAGCCACCACCATTCTTGAAAATATGAAGTGGATCTCAGTGATGTGTTGTGTTGGATTTGCCCCAAACATAATCCTTTGTATTCAGGACATAAAGTTAATTTCTTCACCACATTTTTGTCGTTTTACTTTCGTGCCTTATTGCAGGATGCATGTTTTGGAATATTTTTTATTCAGTACAGGCTTCCTTTTCACTCTGACAATTAGGAAAGTATTGTGGAGTTTCCTATCACAGCCATTAAACTCTGGAACTGTTTTAATGTCACCATTGGCCTCATGGTGAAATCCCTGAGCAGTTTCCTTCCTCTCTGGCAACTGAGTTAGGAAGGACACCTGTATCTTTGTAGTGACTGGGTGTATTGATACACCATCCAAAGTGTAATTAATAACTTCTCCATGCTCAAAGGGATATTCAATGTCTGCTTTATTATATTTTTTTACCCATCTACCAATAGGTACCTTTCTTTGCATTGGAAAACCTCCCTGGTATTTGTATTTATTAAGGATCCCCATTAGTTCTTGCCAAGGCAGCAGCTACTCTTCCTGGGGTCCAGCAACATTAAGGCAGTTATATACTATTTAAAATATTACATTACATTACATTTCATAACACTTTTCACAACACATTAAGTGTTTGTGGTTGAATCTGTGTTTGAAGGCATTGTATGCTCTTAAATGGGTAGTGGCATTTGGTTTAGATATAACATTTGTAACACAATATACCCTTTGCTGTAATAGCTTCAAATCAAATAGTATCCTAGGAACTGGTACATGTTGATCTAAATTCAGTCTAAACCATCACACAATCTTTGCATTTGGTTTTTATTGAAATATCAATGATGAAATAACAACAGACATGACTTGGAAGTCAAATAACTAATAAACAATGTACAGTGTGTAGCCTACGGTCAGTGTGCAACAATACACAATAGGCTACCTTGGCTCTGTTTAAGCACAGGGACGCATGCGCGATTCTCCGCGGCCGTGACTCTACAGTCGGTCATCACGGCAACGGTGAGGGAGGGGGCGCTCGAGCCACGTCGTTGAATCAAATAAACGCTTCAAGCGCAGCTCCACTGTTTACAAAAGAGCAACGGTGAGTACATTAATTACTACAGTCGCAATGTCTGTAATAAAACCAAATTCAGGACAACTGGACACCGGCAAGCCTTGAATTTATCCTGGGTAAGTCCGACTGTGCCACAATCACAGACAGTCCGCCATTCCCCCTTCATCGAGACTCCCATTTAATGCTCTATATGCAAGGGATAATATTCATAATTTTCATTTTTCCCCCTTTCAAATTTAGTCGATAGTCCAACGTGTAGAAAGCGGTGTAATTGCTATGCAACGGGAGGCTGTGCGCAACGAGTGCTTTGATGCAGCGCAGGGTGTGAGGTGCATCAAACAGCCAGACAGAAAGGATGGAGAACTAGTGAAATCCTATTCTTCTATCATGCAATCGCGACTTAGTATCGATAGATAGACAGATAATCGATAGGTTATAGGCTTTATATATTTCTTAAATAAACCTCAGGCATGTCATCATTCCAACCATTCATTTTATTATGGCCATACCATTTAGCTATAATGGGTGGGACCTATTAAAACGCTTATTACATAGTAATTAATTAATTAATAGACATGACTGAAACGACACACATTTTAAAGGTTTAGGCCCAATGGGATTTCAGTACAAATTAATTAATCATCAGTCTTAATGCACGTTTATCCTCTGTCTCGCTCTCCAGTGGTCCTTACTATCATTCAATAGCAGGAGGGTCTTCCCCCTCCAACCAACCCATCCATCCAGGATGTCCACTCCAGACCCTCCCATGGGAGGTACCCCTCGACCGGGTCCTTCCCCAGGCCCGGGGCCCTCTCCTGGGGCGATGCTTGGCCCCAGCCCTGGTCCTTCTCCAGGGGGGTCCTCTCACAGCATGATGGGGCCCAGCTCAGGGCCTCCATCCTCAGGTCACCCCCTGCCTCAGCCTGGGCCCTCTGGATACTCCCAGGAGAACATGCACCCTCTGCACAAAGTAAGGACACCTTGTGGATTAATGAGTGCTACTGTACCTAACCAGCTGGACACTTCAGAACCAAAGGCACATTTACACATTTTGTGGACAATAAAGTATTTTTTCTGTTGTGTTCTATTCTATTCCATGCTACTTGATCTGCCATCTATGTCATCTGATGTATCTCCTCTTTGTAAATACAGTACATACACTTTGTTGAAACAATTCCTTGCAACAATGAAAACCTGTTTCAATGTAGATCTATCTACATTTGTTTGTATCGATGTCTCCCTCCCTGTAGCCACTGGAAGGTATGGAGAGAACTGCCATGGAGAGAACTGGTATAGAGAGGACTGGTATGGAAAGGTCTGCCATGGAGAGAACTGGTATGGAAAGGACTGGTATGGAACGGACTGGTATGCATGAGAAAGGCATGAGTGAGGAGTCCCGCTTTGCCCAGATGAAGGGCATGCCCATGAGACAGGGAGGGCACAGTGGCATGGGCCCTCCTCCCAGCCCCATGGACCAACACTCTCAAGGTAGGTACACACACTCTCACCAAGGGGTCTGTTCAGGAGGGTGCACAGTTGAACAATGTTCAGATAGAACTGTATAGAACCTATATTATCTATTATGGTAGAATTGGAAATTGTGTCAGATCTATTCATTTTTATCTGTAATGTTTCACCTCACTGAATATCCCCTTTTCTCTCTCTGTCTCTCTCTCTCTTTCCATCTCCCTCTCTCCCCACCAGGCTACCACTCCCCACTCGGCGGCTCTGACCACTCCAGCCCCGTCCCTTCCAACGGGCCCCCCTCTGTCCCTCTACAACCCTCTAGCGCTGTCCCCGGGTCTGGCCTAAACCCCTCAGACACCTCCTCCAACCCGGACTCCCAAACCCTGGGGGCCCAGAACCAGCAGCAGAACCGGCCCGGTGGGCCCCAGCAAAGTGGCTCCGGACCTGGCCCTCATGGTCCCAGCCCTGGTCCCACCACCCCTGGTGGCCCCGGAGGAGGCCCTACTCCTTTCAACCAGAACCAGCTTCACCAGCTGCGGGCCCAGATCATGGCCTATAAGGCATGTACAGTACATGTATATTGATGATTTAATGGTTGAAAGACGGATATGTGTATAAGATGATACATTATAACTGATATATAATGTGTTATGACTGCCTATGGTTATTTATAATGTCTCAAAACTCTCACTCAGCGGTCCACAATGTTGTTTTTAATATGTAGCTAATATGCCTTGTCACCTGTTGTATAAATATTGTGGAGTGACACTTTATGTGCATTTAAATTGTATTTTAATTTTATGACTAAAGGGTAGACAAGCAAGTCAATGAACATCATTCACATGTTACAATAACAAACATGAACATATTGGATTGACACTTTAATAAACTTTTCTCTCTATAAGATGCTGGCCAGGGGGCAACCACTACCAGACCACCTCCAGATGGCTGTCCAGGGGAAGAGGCCCATGGGGTGCAGCCCAGGGATGCAGGGGCTGGGGCCGGGGCAGGGGGGACTGGGGCAGCCCATGCCCAGCCTGGCTCCTGGAGGTCCTGGAGGTGTGGGGCCAGGGGGGCCAGGACAAGGACCAGGAGGATCCATGGGCCAGGGCTACAGCAGAGCTCATGGTGAGGGAGGCAGAATGAAGAGCATTGGATATTGATCTGTATAATTACAGTAACTAGTTGAAACAGGAAGATTCATCAGGAAAGCATTGATCAGTCAAAGCATTGATCAGTCAAAGCATTGATCACTCTGCTCCAGCCTCTCCAACCTAATATGTGTGTATGTGTATATCGGGGGGTTGGATAAAAAGCAGAAGACAAATTTCCATCACGAGTGGACTAATAAAATATATCTTATCAGTCAATTAATCAGCATCTACAGTGAGGGAAAAAAGTATTTGATCCCCTGCTGATTTTGTACGTTTGCCCACTGACAAAGAAATGATCAGTCTATAATTTTAATGGTAGGTTTATTTGAACAGTGAGAGACAGAATAACAACAAAAAAATCCAGAAAAACACATCAAAAATGTTATAAATTGATTTACATTTTAATGAGGGAAATAAGTATTTGACCCCCTCTCAATCAGAAAGATTTCTGGCTCCCAGGTGTCTTTTATACAGGTAACGAGCTGAGATTAGGAGCACACTCTTAAAGGGAGTGCTCCTAATCTCAGTTTGTTACCTGTATAAAAGACACCTGTCCACAGAAGCAATCAATCAATCAGATTCCAAACTCTCCACCATGGCCAAGACCAAAGAGCTCTCCAAGGATGTCAGGGACAAGATTGTAGACCTACACAAGGCTGGAATGGGCTACAAGATCATCGCCAAGCAGCTTGGTGAGAAGCTGACGACAGTTGGTGCGATTATTCGCAAATGGAAGAAACACAAAATAACTGTCAATCTCCCTCGGCCTGGGGCTCCATGCAAGATCTCACCTCGTGGAGTTGCAATGATCATGAGAACGGTGAGGATTCAGCCCAGAACTACACGGGAGGATCTTGTCAATGATCTCAAGGCAGCTGGGACCATAGTCACCAAGAAAACAATTGGTAACACACTACGCCGTGAAGGACTGAAATCCTGCAGCGCCCGCAAGGTCCCCCTGCTCAAGAAAGCACATATACAGGGCCGTCTGAAGTTTGCCAATGAACATCTGAATGATTCAGAGGAGAACTGGGTGAAAGTGTTGTGGTCAGATGAGACCAAAATCGAGCTCTTTGGCATCAACTCAACTCGCCGTGTTTGGAGGAGGAGGAATGCTGCCTATGACCCCAAGAACACCATCCCCACCGTCAAACATGGAGGTGGAAACATTATGCTTTGGGGGTGTTTTTCTGCTAAGGGGACAGGACAACTTCACTGCATCAAAGGGACGATGGACAGGGCGATATACCGTCAAATCTTGGGTGAGAACCTCCTTCCCTCAGCCAGGGCATTGAAAATGGGTCGTGGATGGGTATTCCAGCATGACAATGACCCAAAACACACGGCCAAGGCAACAAAGGAGTGGCTCAAGAAGAAGCACATTAAGGTCCTGGAGTGGCCTAGCCAGTCTCCAGACCTTAATCCCATAGAAAATCTGTGGAGGGAGCTGAAGGTTCGAAACCTTAATGACTTGGAGAAGATCTGCAAACAGGAGTGGAATATAATCCCTCCTGAGATGTGTGCAAACCTGGTGGCCAACTACAAGAAACGTCTGACCTCTGTGATTGCCAACAAGGGTTTTGCCACCAAGTACTAAGTCATGTTTTGCAGAGGGGTCAAATACTTATTTCCCTCATTAAAATGCATATCAATTTATAACATTTTTGACATGCGTTTTTCTGGATTTTTTTGTTGTTATTCTGTCTCTCACTGTTCAAATAAACCTACCATTAAAATTATAGACTGATCATCTCTTTGTCAGTGGGCAAACGTACAAAATCAGCAAGGGATCAAATACTTTTTTCCCTCACTGTAAATGCTGTGAGAAGTAGCAAGCTTGTATTGTTTTGATCTGGTACAGTAGCTGGATATCTGTTTTCCAATAGGTCTGAAAAGTATGAAACATTAGCCTTTCTCTGAATATACCACTGATATAATGTTGTAGGGATGATGGGACCCAACATGCCTCCACCAGGCCCCTCTGGTCCAACAGGCATGCAGGGACAGAACCCCAACGGACCCCCCAAGTCCTGGTCTGAAGGTGAACATAATAACACCAGCGTTATTATCACTTTCTACTGAGGCGCAATGAGTTCAAGTTTATTATCACTCACATAGTAGGTAGGTACTTAGCAGTTAGTCACATAGTAGGAACAGATGTGAGATCTTCATTTGATCTCTGTTTTGTTGCTGAGGAAATACGAACTTTGAAATTGTTGACTTGATTTTCCCTAACGAAAAATGTATCAACACCTACAAAAATGTCAGTTAATTATAATCCACATAATAATTCACATTTCCTGTTGCTGCAGGATTATTTTCTTGCTGTAGAAAACTAAGATCATACATTATGAAAAATGTATGCACTCACTAACTGTAAGTCGCTCTGGATAAGAGCATCTGCTAAATGACAAAACAATTAAAATACATCTGTACTCACATACAGTGGGGGAAAAAAGTATTTAGTCAGCCACCAATTGTGCAAGTTCTCCCACTTAAAAAGATGATAGAGGCCTGTAATTTTCATCATAGGTACATGTCAACTATGACAGACAAAATGAGAATTTTTTTCTCCAGAAAATCACATTGTAGGATTTTTTATGAATTTATTTGCAAATTATGGTGGAAAATAAGTATTTGGTCAATAACAAAAGTTTCTCAATACTTTGTTATATACCCTTTGTTGGCAATGACACAGGTCAAACGTTTTCTGTATGTCTTCACAAGGTTTTCACACACTGTTGCTGGTATTTTGGCCCATTCCGCCATGCAGATCTCCTCTAGAGCAGTGATGTTTTGGGGCTGTCGCTGGGCAACACAGACTTTCAACTCCCTCCAAAGATTTTCTATGGGGTTGAGATCTGGAGACTGGCTAGGCCACTCCAGGACCTTGAAATGCTTCTTACGAAGCCACTCCTTTGTTGCCCGGGCGGTGTGTTTGGGATCATTGTCATGCTGAAAGACCCAGCCACGTTTCATCTTCAATGCCCTTGCTGATGGAAGGAGGTTTTCACTCAAAATCTCACGATACATGGCCCCATTCATTCTTTCCTTTACACGGATCAGTCGTCCTGGTCCCTTTGCAGAAAAACAGCCCCAAAGCATGATGTTTCCACCCCCATGCTTCACAGTAGGTATGGTGTTCTTTGGATGCAACTCAGCATTCTTTGTCCTCCAAACACGACGAGTTGAGTTTTTACCAAAAAGTTATATTTTGGTTTCATCTGACCATATGACATTCTCCCAATCCTCTTCTTGATCATCCAAATGCACTCTAGTAAACTTCAGATGGGCCTGGACATGTACTGGCTTAAGCAGGGGGACACGTCTGGCACTGCAGGATTTGAGTCCCTGGCGGCGTAGTGTGTTACTGATGGTAGGCTTTGTTACTTTGGTCCCAGCTCTCTGCAGGTCATTCACTAAGTCCCCCCGTGTGGTTCTGGGATTTTTGCTCACCGTTCTTGTGATCATTTTGACCCCACGGGGTGAGATCTTGCGTGGAGCCCCAGATCGAGGGAGATTATCAGTGGTCTTGTATGTCTTCCATTTCCTAACAATTGCTCCCACAGTTGATTTCTTCAAACCAAGCTGCTTACCTATTGCAGATTCAGTCTTCCCAGCCTGGTGCAGGTCTACAATTTTGTTTCTGGTGTCCTTTGACAGCTCTTTGGTCTTGGCCATAGTGGAGTTTGGAGTGTGACTGTTTGAGGTTGTGGACAGGTGTCTTTTATACTGATAACAAGTTCAAACAGGTGCCATTAATACAGGTAACGAGTGGAGGACAGAGGAGCCTCTTAAAGAAGAAGTTACAGGTCTGTGAGAGCCAGAAATCTTGCTTGTTTGTAGGTGACCAAATACTTATTTTCTACCATCATTTGCAAATAAATTCATAAAAAATCCTACAATGTGATTTTCTGGATTTTTTTCCCTCAATTTGTCTGTCATAGTTGACGTGTACCTATGATGAAAATTACAGGCCTCTCTCATCTTTTTAAGTGGGAGAACTTGCACAATTGGTGGCTGACTAAATACTTTTTTCCCCCACTGTAGTAGTAACTCACATAGCAGTTAGTCAACACAGAGTTAATTGTTAAAACACTAAAATGTAATTCATGATGGTATTTCATGATTTAGTCCTGTTCACATCAATAAATTGATTGATTGATTGACGGTTAGTTACCTTTGCCCTTTCTTTCCTTCCCCCAGGTCCGATGGTGAACGCCGCCGCCCCCTCCAACGCCCCCCAGAAGTTGATCCCTCCCCAGCCGACGGGCCGTCCCTCCCCTGCTCCACCCTCCATACCCCCCGCAGCCTCCCCGGTCATGCCCCCCCAGACCCAGTCCCCTGGGCAGCCGGTCCAGCCCCCGCCCATGGTGCCCCACCATGCCAAGCAGAACCGCATCACCCCCATCCAGAAACCCCACGGACTCGACCCGGTGGAAATACTGCAGGAGAGGGAGTACAGGTAACCTACGAACCCTGACCCTTAAGCCCTGACCCTTAAGACCTGACCCCTGACCCCTAACCCTGTGGAAAAACTGCAGGAGAGGGATTACAGGTAATATACTAACCCTGACCCTTAACCCCTGACCCCTAACCCGGTGGAGATACTGCAGGAAAGGGAGTACAGGTACACAATCAATCAAAATGTATTTATAAAGCCCTTTTTACATCACAAAGTGTAGTAACCTGGCCTAGACCCGAAAGAACAAACAGCAGTATATCTAGCATTCATCATACATTAATTGAATAGATAGGTACATAGTTACATAGTTAGTCCTACTATATATACATTTATAATAGCAGACTCAGTTCTCTACAGCACTAGTACTCTCTCTCTCTCCCTCTCTCTCTCTCTCTCTTCGTGCTCTCTCTCTCTCTCTCCTCTCGCTCTCTCTCTCGTCTCTCTCCTTCTCTCCCGCTCTCCTCTCCCTCTTTCACTCTTCCCCCCTCCTCTCCTCTCTCCCTCTCGGCTCGGTCTCGTCTCTCCTCTCTCTCTCCTCTCTCTCCTCTCCTCTCTTGCTCCCCATCTCCTCTCTCTCTCCCTCACTCATCTCTCTCCCTCTCTGCCTCTCCCCTCTCTTCTTCCCTCCGATCTCTCTCTCGCAGCCGTCTCTCCGCTTCCGCCCCCCTTCGATCGTCACCTCTCCCCTTCTGATCTCTCTGTTGCTCGCTCCCTCTCTGTCTCTCTCTCTCTCTCCTCCTCGTCTCTCATGCTCGTCTCTCATCTCCTCTCCCTCAGGCTCGTCCTCCGTCTCTCTCTCGCTCGTCGTTGCATCTCTCTCGCTGGGTTTCATCTCTCGTCTCCTCCTCCTCTCTCGTCGCGACTCTGCCTCTCCTCCTGGGTCTTTCTCGCTGGCTCTCCTCTTCCTCTCCCCTACGGTCGCTGTCCGGGAGTCACTCTCTCTCTCTCTCTCTCTCTCTCTCTCTCGCGTCTCCTCTCTCACCTCGTGAGCCCGTGCATCTCGCTCTCTCTCAGAGTCCCTCCTCCCTCTCTCTTCTCCCGCTCGATCTCGCGTCGTCGGCGTCACGGACGCTCCTCTCTCTCTCTCTCTCTCTCTCGTCTCTCTCTCTCGTTCGGAGCTCTCGTCTCTCTTCGTCATTCGGCATCTCTCTGCCTCTCTCCTCTCTCTCCTCGTGCTGCCTCTCTCGCTCAGTCTAAGCTCTCGAGCTCTCGTCCTCTCCCCGCCTCCTCCTGGTGCTCTCGGTCCCGTCGCCTCGTCTCTCTGTCTCTCCTCTCGCCTCTCTCTCACACCTCGAAGCTCTCGAGTATGTCGCCTCTCTCTCTCTCTCTCTCACGTCTGCAACCTCTCTCTCTCTCTCTCTCTTCTCTCGTCCCTTTCCTCGCTCTGTCTCCCTCCCTCCCCCTCTCTATCTTGGGTCTCTGTGGCATCTCCAGACTGCAGGCTCGTATCACCCATCGTATAGCTGAGTTGGAGAACCTCCCTGGCTCTCTGGCTGGAGACCTGAGGACCAAGGCCACCATCGAACTCAAGGCCCTCCAGCTGCTCAACTTCCAGAGACAGGTAGGCTACTGGCCTGCCCTGCAGATCACACACAGGACTGTGTTGTACTGTAGCACTCCTTCGTAAAGGTCTACATGACACTGTCATTACAATGACCCTTCATAATGGCTACATAACATAAGTCCTATAAACAGTCATGACTCTTTAACTGTGTTGTACTGTTGTAACTGTCCTGAAAACATTGGGGACTGTTGAGACCCTCTCCCATACAGTATGCCCACACATGATGGTGGTGACGATGATGATGATGCATTTATATACACATTTGTAATTTCTCCGGTCTCTTCCAACTTCACAGCTGCGTCAGGAGGTAGTGGTGTGTATGCGTAGGGACACGGCTCTGGAGACAGCTCTGGACGCTAAGGCGTACAAGAGGAGCAAGCGCCAGTCCCTACGAGAGGCCCGCATCACAGAGAAACTGGAGAAACAGCAGAAGATCGAACAGGAGCGCAAACGTCGACAGAAACACCAGGTACACTACCAAAAACTTAGGGCCGGATTACACCTGTTTCGAGACAAAAAGCTATTTTCAATAGAGATGTTTTGGGAAAATGCTTTTCGAGGCACAATGTCAGGTAACGTCCTTCAAGAAGTTTCGATTATTTTAACTCCTTTAATCCTTAATGAGGAAATTTGGGAGAAGGATATCTCACTAATATATTTCACTCTTTATAAGTAATTAGATACAGTACATTATGTTAATCAGTAGTAGTAGTAGTAGCAGCACCACCACCAAGCCAGCTAGAAATACTTGCTATGGGACAGAACTGAATACTGACTCTCATCTCTTGTCTGTCTCCAGGAGTATCTGAGCATTATCCTGGCCCACGCCAAAGACTTTAAGGAGTACCACCGCTCCATCACAGCTAAGATCCAGAAAGCCACCAAGGCCGTGGCCACGTACCACGCCAACACGGAGCGCGAGCAGAAGAAGGAGAACGAACGCATCGAGAAGGAGAGGATGAGGAGGCTGATGGTGAAGATCATTACATACAGTATTCTCGTTCACACACTTGTGTTTATAAAGACACACACACACGTGCAAACACTCCTACTCTTTCACGTACTTACACACTCATGTGTATACAAAGACACACACTAACAACGCACATTACTTTACCCTACTCTTCTCTACTCTCATTCCCACACACACACTCATCCGTCTCACATCAATGAGTTTTGTGTCTGATTATCTCCCCCGTTCTCGCCCTCTCCCTCTCTCTCTCTCCAGGCTGAGGATGAGGAGGGCTACCGTAAGCTGATTGACCAGAAGAAGGACAAGCGTCTGGCCTACCTGCTGCAGCAGACGGATGAGTACGTGGCCAACCTCACTGAGTTGGTCCGGGCTCACAAGCTGGTACAGGCCCTCAAAGAGAAGAAGAAGAAGAAGAAAAAGAAGAAGGTGAGTGAGAGAGAGGAGTGAGTGAGTGAGTGAGTGAGTGAGTGAGTGAGTGAGTGAGTGAGTGAGTGAGTGAGTGAGTGAGTGAGATGAGATGGAGAGAGAGAGAGAGAGAGATGTGACAAAGGAAACATACACACATCCAATATGTTCAGGTGCTGGACAGAAGGGGACTAAAACGTATGTCCACGACTGATTTGCTGAGACGGACACATGACAGATGAGGTTTCAAACCAACTGGGATCTCCTGAGGAATGTGTGTGTGTAGATGTGGTTGTGAGCTGTAGTCAGCACTAGTCTCTGTAGGGAGTTTATAGAGTCAGTGTGTAGATGTGTTTGTGAGCGTGATAAACACACTGATATGTGGATGTCTTTCCTACAGAAGCTGGAGAACGCTGAGGGCCAGACTCCTGTACTGGGACCTGATGGAGAGGTGAGTGGGATAGTAAACTAACATACTGGAATGATATATAACTATGTTTAGCAGACGCTCGTATCCAGAGAGACTTACAGTCATTCTCATAACCAATCTACAGTACACTGTTATAGATACATCAGTATGGTTACCAGTCTGTTACCTGTTGTTATACATTTTACATTTACCTGATGCTCTTATCCAGAGAGACATACAGGAGCAATTAGGGTTAAGTGCCTTGCTCAAGGGCACATCGACAGATTTTTTACCTAGTCGGCTCGGGGATTAGAACCAGCGACCTTTCGGTTACTGGCACTACGCTCTTAACCACTAAGCTACCTGCCGCTAGACATAGTATTTGTCATAGTCATGGTTCAGCAGGTATCTACATTACCCCACACTATAAGCATCAGTATCCAGTGGCGTTCTGACTCGGTGTCCCCCCCCCCCCTCCAGCCTCTAGATGAGACGTCCCAGATGAGTGACCTACCAGTGAAGGTGATCCACGTGGACAGTGGTAACATCCTGACAGGGGTGGACGCTCCTAAAGCTGGACAGCTGGACACATGGCTGGAGATGAACCCTGGGTACGAGGCTGGAGGAGGAGGATGATGATGAGATGGGCCTAGAGGGGGTTTATTGGGGGTTGGGGTATCTTTTAGAGGGGGTAAAGGAATGTTTGTGGTTGTAATGCTGATATTTTCTGCTGGTCCAGGTACGAGGTGGCCCCTCGCTCTGACAGTGAAGACAGTGGATCGGAAGAGGAGGAGGTGGGTTTGGTCTTAAAAGATAGTACCCAACCATGATTCAACTGTTAATATAGCGATTACAGGATGAAAACGCTACAAAAAGTAGGAACAAAATCAACTGAATTGGTTGTGCAGTCATAAAGACTAGATTCATTCCATACTCTCTCTGTACCAACGCTATGACCAGTCTGTCTGAGTGGTGATTGACAGGTTGGCCTGTCATTGGCCTGTCAGGAGGAAGAGGAGGAGCCCCAGCCGGCGGTGCCTCCAGTAGTGGTCCTCCCAGGGTTAGTGGGGTTAGAGGAGAAGAAGAAGAAGATCCCAGACCCAGACATTGAAGAAGTATCAGAGGTGGACGTACGACACATCATAGAGTGAGTACACTACACCAGGGTCCCTATAGAGTACCAAAGGATGAGTCATAATACCCATAAAACCTAGCGGTCAAACAGGGAAATGGTTCCAATCGTTTTTCCACAATTCATTTTTCCCATCTGGGATTTTAGAAACACTTAAAATTAGGGCTGTGTTTCGTGTAAGCTTACCCTGGCATGACGTTTTGATAACCGTGTAAATCTCTCGGACAAGGTGACTTTTGTCAATATATTCCCTTGTATTTACCCCCCAAAAATGAAACGCTAATTAGCTGCTAATGTAGCTATCATAAAGAACTACAAATGTCATGATGATCTGGACGAGACTGCTGAATCGAGGCAAAGGTAAGAATCTCTGGATTAACTATCTAATGTTAGCTAAATGTAGTAATGAATAAATTGGCTACATTTCTTTACATTGACAATTCTGTGAACTGTCTTGTGCAAGTTTTATATTGACACAATACCTGTTAGCAAAGGTGTCAGCTAGAGATGATGTCCAGGAGCTTGCAGGGATTTGTAGTTTTGCATGATGTCTACTTTGATGCTAATTAGTATTTTAGAATCTCAGAGTAAATAGAGCCGAATATATTGATAAAAGTCACCATGTCCGAGACAGATTTACATGGTTATCAAAACGTCACGCCAGGGTAAGCCTACACAAAACACAGCCCTTATTTTATGTGTTTCTAAAATCACCTATGGGAAAAATGAATGGTGGTAAAACGATTGGAACCGTTTCCCTGTTTGACTGTTAGGTTTTATGGGTATTATGACACCTCCACTGTGGGGCTCTATTCTCTACCTTTTTCTCAATTGTGCGCTTGTGGACTCCTCCACACACATTGAGACGTGATCTGACTGAAATAGTTTGGAAGGGCCCATAAGTAAGCATTTAACTGTTAGTCTACACCTGCTGTTTTACGAAGCAAGTGACAAATTTGCATGTGATTTGAAATGTCCGGTGTATGATTCAGGGTTGGTGTCAAAAGAACCGTTGATTTTCAGTGAGGAATTGGGTGAACCTCTGACCTTCTCCAATGTGTTTTGATGAGGCGGCGAGAAGAAAGGACACAAGGAGATACAATTGAGATTCACCTGTTGTGCACTCCTGCCCACACATTGGATTTATTTAAATAAGCCATAAAGACAGAAATGCCTACAATTCAGGTTTGGGGTCAAAAGTGCCATTAATATTCAGTGAGGAATTAACCCTAATGCTGTTTTGCTGACTTGCTAAGCCTTATCAATGACTGAGTACATTTTCCAGCCAAGGAAAATAGTGATAGAATTAAAAAGAATAGCACACTTACTTTATAGGGCTAATGCCAATATGTAATAATAAATAATGATACATTGAATTTATAACACGCTTTTCATTGAAAAACAATCTCAAAGTGCTACAGTGATTGCATTAAAGCCATTCAGCCACTGATATTGTTTCTTCCCTGGTTCCGTCCGTAGGCACGCTAAACAGGATGTGGATGATGAGTATAACAGTGCAGAGGCAGCGTTCGCTCGGGGACTCCAGTCTTACTACGCTGTGGCCCATGCTGTCACTGAGAGAGTGGAGAAACAGTCCACTATACTCATCAACGGACAACTGAAACAGTACCAGGTGAAGCAGCGCTGACAAGAGGCTGACTAAGCCTGAGAAGTGACATTTCCTTTCTTAAGTCATTAGAAGAGACCCAGACCTACCTGTACAATTCTTTCTGGCTGAAATGGTCCTTTGTCTTCCTCTCTTGAACTTCCATCCCTCTCCTTGTCTCTCTCCTCTCTCCTCTCCCTTTACTTGTCTCTCCCTCCCTCCCTCAGATTAAAGGTCTGGAGTGGCTGGTGTCTCTCTACAACAACAATCTGAACGGTATCCTGGCTGATGAGATGGGCCTGGGAAAGACCATCCAGACCATCGCTCTCATCACGTACCTGATGGAGAACAAGCGAGTCAACGGACCTTTCCTCATCATAGTTCCGTTGTCGTGAGTACTGTACCGCTCTGCCACGCACGGAGAACCATGGCTTCAATTACAATTCATCTTTAAAGGGACATTACACTCCAAAAATCAATCACATGTTTTCAAGATTCCCAACATTGGTGGTATGTTGAGCAACTGTAAGTTTTGTAGATTCAGCTATATGCCACAATCCAAAATGAATGGAAGACATAAGCTCCACATCATTTTCCAGATTTGCTGTGCTTATTTTTTCCATTAATTTGGGGTTGAGGTACAGTATATAGCTGGATATACACAACTGATGGTGTGGGACTTTTGAAGAGTACTGTCCCTTTAATTGTAACTGTATTCATAGTACACTTAACGTGACTGTCATACATGATATGATGGAGTACAGTACGCATGAGAGGGGTACAATGATCAGGAGAGAGGGGTGGGTAAGGTTTGGCACGGTCACATAATTAAAAATTAACTAGAATAGTAATATATACACTACCAGTCAAAGGTTTGGACACATGCCCGCTTGGAGTTTGGGACGATGACCCAACACACCTCCAGGCTGTGTAAGGGCTATTTGACCAAGAAGCAGAGTGATGGAGTGCTGCATCAGATGACCTGGCCTCCACAATCCCCCGACCTCAACCCAATTGAGTGAAGGAAAAGCAGCCAACAAGTGCTCAGCATATGTGGGAACTCCTTCAAGACTGTTGGAAAAGCATTCCAGGTGAAGCTGGTTGAGAGAATGCCAAGAGTGTGCAAAGCTGTCATCAAGGCAAAGGGAGGCTACTTTGAAGAATCTCAAATCTCAAATATATTTTGATTTTGTTTAACACTTTTTTGGTTACTACATGATTCCATATGTGTTATTTCATAGTTTTGATGTCTTCACTATTATTCTACTATGTAGAAAATAGTACAAATAAAGAAAAACCCTTGAAGGAGTAGGTGTGTCCAAACTTTTGACTGGTACTGTATGTATCTATCTGTATGGGTACAGTGCTATTTGTTTGCTTAGGTAAGTTTGGCCCTCTGTTTTCCTCTCTTCTCTCATTGACAGAACTCTCTCTAACTGGGTGTATGAGTTTGACAAGTGGGCTCCGTCTGTAGTGAAGGTCTCCTACAAGGTGAGTTGCTAACCTTCCGCCAACTATATGGTAACCATGGTAACACTAATTACTAGGGGTCCTGAAATACAGACGTATGGGCGGCCGTGTGTAAGCCTGTCTATAATGTATATATGTGGTCATTCAAATCAAAAGTGTATCACTTGCAGTGAGAACAACAACAAGTAGGCCTATTATGAATACAAATGTAAAGTCATGCCATTCTAGTAATTATTAATTTAATTAATTAATGTCAAGTTAAATCCAAGTGCCTGTCCTTCATGTTGTCTCTGTAGGGTTCCCCTCAGGCCAGAAGGGCCTTCATTCCCCAGCTACGCAGCGGCAAGTTCAACGTTCTCCTCACTACCTATGAGTACATCATCAAGGATAAACAGGTCCTAGCCAAGGTAACACACACAGACACACAGACAGACACACAGACACACTACCTCCAGCGTGATTCTGAACAACAATCACCATGACCATTTGACTGATGACCTATATACCCTCTTTCTGTCTTCTCCTACTCCCCACCCCCCCCCCCCCCACCCCTCTCTCTCTCTCTCCTACATCACTCCCTGCTCCCTCTCCCCCCACAGATCCGGTGGAAGTACATGATCGTGGACGAGGGCCACCGGATGAAAAACCACCACTGTAAGCTAACCCAGGTCCTCAACACCCACTACCTGGCCCCCAGGAGAGTGCTCCTAACTGGGACACCGCTCCAGAACAAGCTGCCTGAGCTCTGGGCCCTGCTCAACTTTCTCCTGCCCACCATCTTTAAGAGCTGCAGTACCTTCGAACAGTGGTTCAATGCACCCTTCGCTATGACTGGAGAGAAGGTGAGTTTTTTTAGCTGGAAGAGATGGAGAAATGCTATTTATACTGAACAAAAATATAAACGCAACATGTAAAGTGTTGGTCCCATGTTTCATGAGCTGAAATAAAAGATCCCAGAAATGTTCCATACGCACAAAAAGCTTATATCTCTCAAAATCTTGTGCACAAATTTGTTTACATCCCTGTCAGTGAGAAATTCTCCTTTGCTAAGATAATCCATCCACCTGACAGGTGTTGCATATCAAGAAGCTGATTAAACAGCATGATCATTACACAGGTGCACCTTGTGCTGGTGACAATAGAAGGCCATTCTAAAATGTCACACAACACAATGCCACAGATGTCTCAAGATTGAGGGAGCGTGCAATTCGCATGCTGACTGCAGGAATGTCCACCAGAGCTGTTGCCAGAGAATTTAATGTGCATTTTTCTACCATAAGCTGCCTCCAACGTCGTTTTAGAGAATTTGGCAGTACGTCCAACCGGCCTCACGACCACAGACCATGTGTAACCACGCCAGCCCAGGACCGCCACTTCGGCTTCTTCACCTGCGGGATCATCTGAAGGGGTGCTGAGGAGTATTTCTGTCTGTAATAAAGCCTTTTTGTGGGGAAGCACTGGCTCCCCAGTAGGTGCGCCCTTGCCCAGTTATGTGAAATCCATAGATTAGGGCCTAATTTATTTATTTCAATTGACTTAAAGCTCAGTAAAATCGTTGAAATTGTTGCATGTAGGCATTTTATATTTTAGTTCAGTTTAAATTCCATGTTGTTAAAGGGATAATTTATGATATTCCGTGGGCCACATTTAATTGGCTCATCTGTCCCGCGGGCTGCCAGTTGCCCATCACTGCTACGCACCTTGTATACATTTCTGTTTATGAAATTAAATAATATATAACTTGGTTCTCTTCTCTCCAGGTGGATCTAAATGAAGAGGAGACCATCCTGATTATCCGTCGCCTCCACAAGGTGCTCCGCCCCTTCCTGTTACGCAGGCTCAAGAAGGAAGTAGAGGCTCAGCTACCGGAAAAGGTATAGTACATCTCTCCATCTTCACATAACTTTTAAATACAAACTCATGTTCACAGACAATGCTTTCTTCAATATCTTGTCCATTTGGTGTCCTCTTACCTATGCTCTCAGGTATTTTTCAGCTGACTGTGTTTGTATAATATCTCCATTCTGTGGTATTAATTGATTGACTCTCTCTCGCTGTCTGTCTGTCTGTCTGTCTGTCTGTCTGTCTGTCTGTCTGTCTGTCTGTCTGTCTGTCTGTGTCTCTCTCTCTCTCTCCCTCCAGGTGGAGTATGTGATAAAGTGTGATATGTCAGCGCTCCAGAGGGTTCTGTACAGACATATGCAGGCCAAAGGAGTCCTACTGACAGACGGCTCTGAGAAGGACAAGAAGGTGAGGAGGAATAACTAAAGTTCTTTGTCCAAAAAGTGTAAAAGATGCACTTTTTTTTAGCTAATATTCTTTATATATGAACATGTGTAAGTTGTCAGAAGCTTTTTGATTACATTGCAAGGTGAAACAATTATAAAATGTACAAGGGAGTATTAGTTTTGTTTCCAGACCTTTGTTTTAAAAACATCCTCACATGCCTCACTTCCATTAATTCTTAGCTTGTGGTGGCTAGAGTTTGCTAAAGTTCGAAGTTGCAGTTGAAAGAAAACAGAACAATTGATTACAGTTTCCCCAGGTCCATACAGTGGATTCGGAAAGTATTCAGACCCCTTGACTTTTTCCACATTTTGTTACATTACAGCCTTATTCTAAAATGGATTAAATTACATTTTTCCCTCATCAATCTACACACAATACCCCATAATCACAAAGCGAAAACAGGATTTTAGAAATGTTTGCAAATGTATTAAAAATAAAAAACAGAAATACCTTATTTACATAAGTATTCAGACCCTTTGCTATGAGACTCGAATTTGAGCTCAGGTGCATCCTGTTTCCATTAATCATCATTGAGATGTTTCTACAACTTGATTGGAGTCCACCTGTGGTAAATTCAATTGATTGGACATGATTTGGATGGGCACACACCTGTCTATATAAGGGCCCACAGTTGACAGTGCATGTCAGAGCAAAAACCAAGCCATGAGGTCGAAGGAATTGCCCATAGAACTTCGAGACAGGATTGTGTCGAGGCACAGATATGGCGAATGGTACCAAAACATTTCTGCAGCATTGAAGGTCCCCAAGAACACAGTGGCCTTCATCATTCTTAAATGGAAGAAGTTTGGAACCACCAAGACTCTTCCTAGAGCTGGCCGCCCTGCCAAACTGAGCAATCGGGGGAGAAGGGCCTTGGTCAGGGAGGTGACCAAGAACCCGATGGTCACTCTGACAGAGCTCCAGAGTTCCTCTGTGGAGATGGGAGAACCTTCCAGAAGGACAACCATATCTACAGCACTCCACCAATCAGGCCTTTATGGTAGAGTGGCCAGATGGAAGCCAGTCCTCAGTAAAAGGCACATGACAGCCCGCTTGGAGTTTGCCAAAAGGCACCTAAAGGACTCTCAGACCATGATAAACAAGATTCTCTGGTCTGATGAAATCAAGATGGAACTCTTTGGCGTGAATGCCAAGCGTCACATCTAGAGGAAACCTGGCACCATACCTACGGTGAAGCATGGTGGAGGCAGCATCATTCTGTGGGGATGTTTTTCAGCGGCAGGGACTGGGAGACTAGTCTGGATCAAGGGAAAGATGAACAGAGAAAAGTACAGAGATCCTTGATGAAAACCTGCTCCAGAGCGCTCAGGACCTCAGACTGGGGCGAAGGTTCACCTTCTAACTGGACAATGACCCTAAGCACTCAGCCAAGACAACGTAGGAGTGGCTTCGGGGACAAGTCTCTGAATGTCCTTGAGTGGCCCCGACTTGAACATGATCGAACATCTCTGGAGAGACCTGAAAATAGCTGTGCAGCGACGCTCCCCATCCAACCTGACAGAGCTTGAGAGGATCTGCAGAGAAGAATGGGAGAAACTCCCCAAATACAGTTGTGCCAAGCTTGTAGCGTCATACACAAGAAGACTCGAGGCTGTAATCGCTGTCAAAGGTGCTTCAACAAAGTACTGAGTAAAGGGTACTGAGTTTATGTAAATGTAATTGTTCAGTTTTTTTTTTTTTATAAATGTGCTAACATTTCTAAAAACCTGTTTTTGCTTTGTCATTATTGGGTATTGTGTGAAGATTGATAAGGGGAAAAAAAAACAATTTAATCCATTTTAGAATAAGGCTGTAACGTAAAAAAATGGGGAAAAAGTAAATGGGTCTGAATTCTTTCCGAATGCACTGTATACTATTTTCAGGGTGAGGAACCATCTAACATCAAGTTGTAAAATCCTGAACTACTCCTTTAATATCGGTGTGTCTATTGTAGGGCAAAGGAGGCACCAAGACTCTCATGAACACCATCATGCAGCTGAGGAAGATCTGTAACCATCCCTACATGTTCCAACAGATAGAGGTACAGTGGGAATACATACACACACACAGATAGAGGTACAGTAGGAATAAACAAACATGCGCGCGCAACACACACACACACACACACACACACACACACACACACAGATAGAGGTACAGTACATACAGTGGGAGTATATTTTCTATTGATGAACTAACCCCACCACAATTCTGAATTTGTTCACAGGAATCTTTCTCAGAGCATTTAGGATTTTCCGGAGGGATAGTGAGTGGGTAAGTGCATAAGTCGATTGAGAAAAGATAATTCTCACAACAACGACCAGAAATGCTTTCAATCTATTGGCTTGGTTGTGTTCTCTCTCTGCCCCTAGTCTTGATCTGTACCGAGCCTCAGGGAAGTTTGAGGTGCTGGATCGTATCCTGCCCAAGCTGAGGGCCACCAACCACAAGGTGTTGTTGTTCTGTCAGATGACCTCCCTCATGACCATCATGGAGGACTACTTCACCTACCGCAACTTCAAGCACCTGCGTCTGGACGGTACGGTGTGTGTGTGTGTCTAGGTATCAGAACTCGGTTCAAATAGTTACTTGGCGTCTTTCTAATACATGCCTGGTGCAATGGAACAAAGGGTACAAACCCCACCAATCTGGGATTCCATTAAGGCTCAATCATACACCCAAAGGATTTTAGAGTCTAGAAAATATATACTTATTGAACCCATGTCTGCTAGGCAAATGATACAAAATCTAAGTTCGGATTTCTGTCTCTCTTAGTTGCTGTGTTTTATTCATCTCCCCTCCGCTTCCTCCCTCCCCCTCTCCCCTCCTCTCTCCCTCCGCCCTCCTGCCCCCTCTCCCTCCAGGCACCACCAAAGCAGAGGACAGGGGCATGCTGTTGAAGGCGTTTAACGACCCGGCCTCCCAGTACTTCATCTTCCTGCTCAGTACCAGAGCCGGGGGGCTGGGCCTCAACCTGCAGTCAGCTGACACCGTGGTCATCTTCGACTCTGACTGGAACCCTCACCAGGTAGGGAGGAGTAACACACACACAATCTCGTAAGGGATTGACTGGAACCCACAGCAGGTACACTTGGAATGTTGGTTGTTGAAGTCATATTTTAACATTACTTGAGTGAATATTCAGTTAGAAGTACAAAATAGCCCACTAAACTTGCTATGTTAGTATTGACATGCCACCATGGGCCAGATCCTAACTGAATCATTGCTAGCCATCGGGATTTGAACTACGAATGTCTAACGATTCAGCCCAAGTTAGCCTACCATATTCTAACCATCTCTCCCTCTCCTCCCTCTCTCTCCAGGACCTGCAGGCCCAGGACCGTGCGCACCGCATTGGCCAACTGAACGAGGTCCGCGTCCTGCGTCTCTGCACCGTCAACTCCGTAGAGGAGAAGATCCTGGCCGCAGCCAAGTACAAACTCAATGTGGACCAGAAGGTCATCCAGGCTGGCATGTTTGACCAGAAGTCATCAAGCCACGAGCGCCGGGCTTTCCTGCAGGCTATCCTGGAGCACGAGGAACAGGACGAGGTCGGGGCCCCGGGGGGGGTGTGGAAGTCTGGGGGGCCTTGGGTGGGTGTGACCGACGAAAGCCCGGAACACCCACACAATCAGAATACCCACGCTGCCCACTGACACACCTACCTCTGTCTGTTGTATTGTTCTTACCGCGTTCTCTTTTTCCATCCATTGTACATCTCTCTCTCTCTCTCTCTCTCTCTCTCTTTCTTTCTTTCTTTCTTTCTTACTTTCAATCCCTCTTTCTTTTCACCGCTCTCTTTTTCTCACATATTTTGTCCCTTATGTTTTTGTCTTAGGTGGACAGACAATATGTAGTGGTATTTGATCTACACTTCTTTTGCATGCTAATACTGTTTTAAAGACTTTACATGTACTGTACATAACATGTTGTATATGCATGTATATTGACCCATTCCTTGGTGATGTTACGGGGCTCTTCTTTACTGAGTGGTGGAGTAGATAGCCTGGTCCCAGACCTGTTTGTTCTGTCTGACAACTCCTATTGTCATTGTCATTGGTCATATGGTCACGAACCAGGCTAGAGTGGATAGAGAAACGACTAGAGGCTATAGCTTTGCTCATGTCCTCCTGTCCCCCTGTCCTGCTGTGTGTTGTCTGTCTGTCCATTGATGTGTGTTTGACCGCTCAGGAGGAGGACGAGGTGCCAGACGATGAGACGGTCAACCAGATGATCGCCAGGAGCGAGGAGGAGTTTGACCACTTCATGGTTAGTTAGTGTCTGTTGGTCATCATGGTAATTTCTCTGGGTCAATATGTCGAGGGCCAGTCCAGTATCTATACACACACCTTTGTTTCCTCTCTTTCTCCTCTCCTCCTTTCTCCTCCCTCTACCTCTGTCCCATCCTCTGTTTTCTCTGTCTTCTCCTCTCTCCTGTCTTTATATCCTCCCCCTCTCCCCCTCCAGCGTATGGACCTGGACAGGCGGCGTGAGGACGCTCGTAACCCCCGCCGTAAGCCCCGTCTGATGGAGGAGGACGAGCTGCCCACCTGGATCATGAAGGATGACGCGGAGGTGGAGAGACTCACCTGTGAGGAGGAGGAGGAGAAGATGTTCGGGAGGGGGTCCCGCCAGCGCAAGGAGGTGGACTACAGCGACTCACTCACCGAGAAGCAGTGGCTCAAGGTTAGAGGTCAGGGGTCAGGGGTTAAATGACACTCTGGGATTGGTGTATACGTATGGGGATTTTCTTGGATTTGATTTGTTTTCATTTGATGTTGTTTATTAAGTGACAAGGTGCTCATCATGTGTTTCCCTCCCTCTCCCTCTCCCTCTCCCTCTCCCTCTCCCTCTCCCTCTCCCTCTCCCTCTCCCTCTCCCTCTCCCTCTCCCTCCCTCCCTCTCCCTCTCCCTCTCCCTCTCCCTCTCTCTCCTCCTCTCTCCCGTCTCCCTCCTCCCTCTTCACCTCTCCCTCCTCACCCTCCTCTCTCTCCTCCTCCTCTCTTCGCCCTCCCTCCCTCTCTTTCTCTCTCTCTCTCTATCTCTCCCTCCCCTCCTTCTCTCTCCAGGCCATTGAGGAAGGTACATTAGAGGAGATCGAGGAGGAGGTGCGTCACAAGAAGACCACCCGGAAGCGAAAGCGTGACCGCGATGACCTCCCTGGCCCCTCCTCTTCCTCCTCGGGGGGCAGGCGGAGCCGGGACAAGGACGAGGACGGGAAGAGACAGAAGAAAAGGGGACGCCCCCCCGCAGAGAAACTCTCCCCCAACCCCCCCGCTCTCACCAAGAAGATGAAGAAGATAGTGGACGCTGTTATTAAATACAAGGACAGGTAAGACTGGGTCTAGTATTCTCTTTAGCTTGCTTTACAATTTGGACTTACATGTTGGTTGGAGCTAGCCTGGGTACCAGTCTGTTTGTGCCATCATGCCACTCCAAACATGTTTGGGACCAGGCTAGGTTGGAACAAGGTGCTTGCAAGACTGATTCCCATATGGGCCACAACATACTGCAAACTGAATCTCAGTGTAACTGCTGTGTAACACCAGTACTATGGGTACTAACATTAGTATCTCTGGTGATGTCTTTCACAGTAGTAATGGTCGTCAGCTAAGTGAGGTCTTCATCCAGCTGCCCTCACGCAAAGAGCTGCCAGAGTACTACGAGCTCATCCGCAAGCCTGTCGACTTCAGGAAAATCAAGGTAAATTAATACATACACATGCATACTGTACATACACCTCACACACACTCTCATTATCATCTTCCCTCTAATCTCTCTCTCTCTCTTTCTCTATCTATCTATCTATCTCCCTCCCTCCCTCCCTCCCTCCCTCTCCTGTCTGTCCCTCCTGTAGGAGAGGATTCGTAGCCACAGATACCGTAGTCTAGGAGACCTGGAGAGAGATGTGATGCTACTCTTTCAGAACGCACAGACCTTCAACCTGGAGGGATCACTGGTGAGACACACACACACTTTATACCGGAATGAGTACTGACACACAAGTACACAACAACACAAACAGATCGATAACCATAGATGTAACAATAGATTACATAAGTGAATGACTTAGTGTGTTTATCGACTTTAACTCACATCGTCCAGTAACTGCATAAGAGATGTTGTTTACAGTAGTTGTAACAGCTCTTCCTATATGCACTCTTGTTACTTTATAAGAATGAATCAAGGGACCAGTCCTTTTTTTGATCAACTTTTTATTTGTATGTTTTGAAGCAGATTAAGGCTGAATACCAATAAGCAGTGGACCAAATAACAATACCATTGTTAGAACATGTCCAACTGCATCTGTGCATGAGCCAAATATAGCTACATCGGTCTATCGTCTGATTGCTGCCTTGTTCCCAGATCTACGAGGACTCCATCGTGCTCCAGTCAGTGTTCACCAGTCTGAGACAGAAGATCGAGAAGGAGGAGGACAGCGAGGGAGAGGACAGTGAGGAAGAGGAGGAGGACCTGGACGAAGGCTCCGAGTCAGAGTGTGAGTCATCACTGAAGAAAGGAAGGAAGGAAGGAAGAAAGAAGAAATATAGAGAGAAAGAAAGAATGAATGAAAGACAGAGAGTGTTGATCCTATGGTGTGTGTGTGTGTGTGTGTGTATGATATGAATCTGTGTGTGTCCGTCCTCCAGCCCGCTCAGTGAAAGTGAAGATCCGTCTGGGACGGAGAGAGAAGAGCAGTGACCGGGGAAAGGGTCGGAGACGTATGGGACGCACCCGAGCCAAACCTGTAGTCAGCGACGACGACACTGAAGAGGAGCAGGAAGAGGTGAGAGGAGAGGTGTGTGTGTGTGTTTTTACCTTCCATCTTCGATGTTTTGTTTTATGATCCTCAGCTAAATGTGTTGCAGATATTGTGCATGACACCCAGAAATATTCCCCCTTATTTCTCTCTTTATATTTCTGTCTCTCTTTCTTCTCATGTCCCACCTCTCACAGGAGCGCTCCCCCAGTGGCACTGATGAAGAATCCTAAATGGAAACTAGCTACATACTCCATGGTCCAACACTACTTCCACTATTACCAGGTTTTGTTCAACTCCATTTCACCTTGATTTCATATCTACTTGGGAATGGGGAATTTTACTGAATATTGATGCCAACTCCCTCCCTGTTATGTACATTAACACAGCTTTCATAACAATATGTAGCAACTTCAGTACATGAAGGACTGCTTAGGTGTAGAAAATAGACTAATTCTGCCTCGTACTGGTAGTCGATCTAAACATCCTTGTTTGTGTAATATGTGTCAATTACTAAAAGTGTTATTTATTATGTCTGGTACCTCCGGTGTCTTTTGGGGGGTAAATTGCGGCCATATACAGTGCCTTCAGAAAGTATTCATACCCCTTGACTTATTCCACTTTTAGTTGTTACAGCCTGAATTCAAAATTGATTAAATAATTGTTTTCCTCAACCATCTACACACAATACCCCATAACGTCAAAGTGAAACAAATATATAGACATTTTTGCAAATGTATTAAAAATGAAATACAAAAATATCTAATTTACATAAGTATTCACACCCCTGAGTGAATACTTTGTAGAAGCATCTTTGGCAGCGATTACAGCTGTGAGTCTTTCTGGGTAAGTCTCTAAGAGCTTTCCACACCTGGATTGTGCAACGTTTGCCCATTATTCTTTTCAGAATTCTTCAAGCTCTGTCAAAATGGATATGGATCATTATCAAGTGGATTTATTTCAAAACTGTAACTTGGCCACTCAGGAACATTCACTGTCTTCTTGGTAAGCAACTCCAGTGTAGATTTGGCTTTGTGTTTTAGGTTATTGTCCTGCTGAAAGGTGAATTAATCTCCCATTATTTGGTGGAAAGTAGACTGAACCAGGTTTTCCTCTAGGATTTTGCCTGTGCTTAGCTTCATTCCGTTTCTTTTTTTATCCTGAAAAACTCCCCAGTCCTTAACGATTAAAATATGGAGAGTGGGGCTCGTTAATGTGTTGTATTGGATTTGCCCCAAACACATTGGATTGCTTTTCCACATTTTTTGCAGTATTACTTTAGTGCCTTGTTGCAAACAGGATACATGTTTTGGAATAGTGTTATTCTGTACATGCTTCCTTCTTTTCACTCTGTCATTAAGGTTAGTATTGTGGAGAACTACAATGTTGTTGATCCATCCTCAGTTTTCTCCTATCACAGCCATTCAACTATGTAACTGTTTTAAAATCACCATTGGCCTCATGGTGAAATCCCTGAGAAGTTTCCTTCCTCTCCGGCAACTGAGTTAGGAAGGACGCCTGTATCTATGTAGTGACTGGGTGTATTGATACACCATCCAAAGTGTCATTAATAACTTCATCATGCTCAAATGGATATTCAATGTCTGCTTATTTATTTTTACCCATCTACCAATAGGTGCCCTTCTTTGTGAGGCATTGAAAAACCTCCCTGGTCTTTGTGGTTGAATCTGTGTTTGAAATTCTCTGCTCAACTGAGCGACCTTACAGATAATTGTATGTGTGGGGTACAGAGATGGGGTAGTTATTCAAAAATCATGTTAAACACTATTATTGAACACAGAGTGAGTCCATGCAACTTATTATGTGACTTTTTAAGCACATTTTACTCTTGAACTTATGTAGGCTTGCCATAACAAAGGGGTTGAATATTTATAGACTCAAGACATTTCAACTTTTAATATTTTACTAATAAAAAATACAAATTACAAACAAAATTCCACTTTGACATTATGGGGTATTGTGTGTAGATCAGTGACACAAAATCTCAATTGAATCAATTTTTTATTCAGGCTGTAACACAACAATGTGGAAAAGATCAAGGGGTTTCTGAAGGCGCTGTAGGTGTGTGTTAAACATCTATTTTGACAGAGGCCCTCTGTTAGATTTGGCACCGTTTCTTTCTGTGGTGGTTCTAGGAATGTGTACATTTGAGCAAGGTTCCGTCCTAAACTGACTTGCATTTAAATGGAATTGACCCCAAGCTAAAACTGACATACAGTACATATCCATGTATTATACCATAAGTCACCCAGTAACTTCACAAGAGATGCTGCTAACATTAGTTGTAACTGCTCTTACTATACACACTCTTATTACTGACGATTGTATAAACATGAATTAAGGGGCAAATCCTAACTTCCATTTAGGTCAAATTTTCACTTAGTCTCATTTAGGCCTGGATTCAATCCGGAACTGCGGACAGTCCGCATTATAGCGCAATTGACATTTAAAGGTATTTCCCGATTGAGCCTACATATGCAGCGTTTACCATGAATGCGGTCTCTGCAAACACGGAAATGTTGCCTTTAAAAGGTGCATAGCCGGAAATGGACGATCAAATTAAATCTATCCCAAAGTCTCTCATTGACGTCAATGCTGACTAAGTGAAAATTATATTTAAATGGAAGTTAAGTTTGCCCCTAAGTATTAATAATACATTACGTAATGTACTGGTATGTGACATTTCAAATGCTTCTATTTGGATGTTGTGCTGCTTTCCTAGCGTAGCAAAACAAAATGTCCGACTGTTTGAATCTACTTTTTTGCACATCTTCTTCCATGTTTGTTGTTTTTAAGATGACGGACCAGAGGGACAGTAGTTCTTCTCTGTATTCATGTATGCCTCAAGGCGGTACGGTGTTAGATATCTATGGTTATGTCGTTCTAGATATGCATGTATACACTGAGTGTACAAAACATTAGGAACACCTTCCTAATATTGAGTTGCACACCTTTTTTACCCTCAGAACAGCCTCAATTCATTCATGGTCTCTACAAGGTGTCGAAAGACATCCACAGGGATGCTGGCCCATGTTGACTCCAATGCTTCCCACAGTTGTGTCAAGTTGGCTGAATGTCCTGTGGATGGTGGACCATTCTTGATACATATGGGAAAACTGTTGAGCGTGAAAAACCCAGCAGCGTTGCAGTTCTTGACACACTCAAACCGGTGCACCTGGCACCTACTACCATATCCCATTCAAAGGCACTTAAATATTTTGTCTTGCCCATTCACCCTCTGAATGTCACACACACACAAACCATTTGTCAATTGTCTCAAGGCTTTCATCTACACTGATTTAAGTGGATTTAACAAGTGTCATCAATAAGAGATCATAGCTTTCACCTGGATTCACCTGGTCAGTCTGTCATGGATAGAGCAGGTGTTCTTAATGTTTTGTTTCCTCAGTGTGTGTGTATGTGTGTAGGATACAATCCTATGTACTGTATTTTTTCATATGACGAAGTTAATGTTATGAGTAGGTCTGAGTGTTTTGTGCAATTATGTGACATGCCTGGATTTTAACCTTTATTTAAAGCTTTTTCATCAATATGTCCCTATTTACTTTCATGTCATATGGTTCAGGGCCATCCTAAATCAATAGCTTGGATTATTTGTGTAATTATTATTTCTGGAAAAGGCTTTAAATACAAGATAAATGATTGCGCAAAACACAGGGCCCTAGAAGAGGTATCAACCAAAGCGGCAGTATTCGACGCCCTCATTCGATGTTGGGGAGCTCTGTATCGTGTTGTGTCATTGTCACTGGATCTTCAAGACTACAATAAACTACAGTAAGGAAACCATTGATATATATTGGCTACAGTATTCATATTCAATTTCTTATAAAGAAACGTGATGATTTCCATTTTATTTAAGATCTTACGGTAATTGTGATTAGTGCATCCGTGTGTAATGGCAGTCCTTGTCCACAGTGAGGCGATCTCACTCAAACCTTCGAAGCAGCCCTTCAGTTTAACTGAGGTGTGTTCCTATCTTATTAGTAGACAAGATAGATCAGATATCTTTTTAATGCATTTTTATTTTTTCCATTTCCTTCTTCCGCATTTTAATTTTTTCAATTTCCTTCTTCCGTCTCAATCTGTGTGCGAGAATGCGAGAGATAGAGTGTGTCTGTGTGTGTGCGTGTGTGTGTGTGCGTGTGTGTGTGTGTTAGCGGGGTATTTTGACAGAGAGTGTATGACTAGGAAGGGTTTCTCTCTGACAGAGAAGCAGTGACGCGAAGAACACTTATTGACAGGTCAACCTCAACCAAAAACAAATGTCATGTTATTCCACAGACACAAACTCTCATCAACAAGAGGTTGCAAGAGGTCCATTTAAAGTCAGGTGACTCAGGTCATTAATGAATGTCTTTCTATCTAACTGGTATAAACAACATGGAATACACCAATCAGAAATTATGTTTATTTTTGCGGCATATTGGGTGGATTCGATTATGCTGTGTCGTGGGGCACCAGGCAAAGGCCCATCACCTCATCGGGCGATATCTGGTAGGGAACATTGTCCCCAAATGTTTTTCAACTACCATAGCTTGCAGGTGTGAAGTTGAGTCTTGGTGGCGCAGAGATGACTTCGTAAAACTCGTTAGGTCTTTGAAGCCAGTACCGGCCAGATTGATGTCTTGTCAGTGCTGAAGAGTAGACAATCCCAGCAACAGCTTCTTGGTTTGGTCACACAAAGTCATCTATGGATAGTGGTCATCATTGTCAGGGAGTGAACGTTATTTATAATAAGGGTTACATGGAGAAAATCGGACCTCTGAAATGAAAATGGATGGCCCTCCCTTCAGCAAAATATATTTTAACTAAACCCTCCCTGGAAGCTTGAGAAAAAAAAGTGATCCTTCTTTCAAGCTTCCAGGGAGGGTTTTGGTCAAATATATTTTGCTGAAGGGAGGGCCATCCATTTTCATTTCACAGAGGTCCGATTTTCAACCTCGCACTTATTGGACAGACCAGACCGAGCCTTTAGATAGATATGCAGTTTTAGAAACTGTTCATCGTCCTGTAAGCGTTACATGGAAACTCAGGAAATTTGATAGCGCGCAGGGCTGCGGGCCAGAAGATTGTACGTTCGCAGACCCCCGTGGACAAAAGTAGAAGTGGAAAAGGTCCTTTATAGTAAAAGCATTGCATGAATCTATCATCGTATTTGCAGTTCCAAGAAAGAATAGACTTTTATAAACATTTCATGCAATTCTACGTCATTTTATATATTAGCAGAATTTTTTTTAATACCACCAAATTACCAAAATTACAGGCAAAGA